TTTAACTAGTTCCACATATCATTTACATGACCGGGAACACAATTGAAATGGTCAGAATGACCATAAACATGATAGAATAACCTTTTCAGCCTTCTGAAAATGTGACTAAAAAATAGCTAAGAGTCTGTGCTCAGGAAAGGTCACTGAACAGAATCTTTTGACTTTTTCAGAAAATGTGCCCAATATATTGCTCTAAATGATACAATTTAAACAAATTTGATATCATTCTTAGAACAAGAAAAAATTTAAAAAAACTGAATTGAAAATCGATCTATTTTCCTTTTTACTACAGCCATTATTGTTTCAGACAATTTTTTTAAATTTCAAAGATTGTGTCATTTAGAGCAATATATTGGACACATTTTCTGAAAAAATCAAAAGATTCTTTTGATTGACCTTTCCTGAGCACCTACTTTTAGCTATTTTTCAGTCACATTTTCAGAGGGCTGAAAAGGTTATTTTATCATGTTTATGGTCATTCTGACCATTTCAATTGTGTTCCCAGTCATGCAAATGATGTGTGGAAATAGTTAAACTGACTGGAGGTCCAAACAGAACTCTGTTATCTTGGTTCAAAAAATTTTCAAAATCCAGCATGGCTTTGTCATTTTTTGTTTTGTCATTTCCTGTTAACTTCCATGAGACCTTAAGAGGCCATTTTCTAGTCATTTTTTCAAAAGTGTGAAAATAAAATAATTCATGAAAAGTTCTTAAAATATTCTGAATAACAAGTTGAATATATATATTTAATGATGGCACAAGCAAAAGTCTGAAAATTAACATGAAATGAAGGGTTTTGACAGATGCAAAAGATGGTAGATTTGTGATGAAGAAATAGAGGTTTTTGCAGTAACAACACAATTACCTCGAAGTTATCCGTTATGAGAGGCTGAGGACTAAACTTGACATAATTTTCAATCTCAGATTATCAGTAGTATCTAACTTTAGCCGGACAGCCACTCAAAATGTATATGGAGCCCATAAGATTCATTTTTCTCAATTGAAGTCACTATTTCTGTTTTTAGCTTCAGAGGATAGGAGGTACATGGACATGCTAAGTTTACCTAGATCACAAGCCTTACCACAAATATAAAGTATACAGGAATAGAGTTGATATGTGTGAAAACCTTAAACTTCCCATTTTATTGGGGATGGAACTTGTGGACCATGTGTATTTCTAACTTCTTCACATGTGCATGGATCTAAAATTGTGGCAGCCATCTTGGATTTGTCATATTATGTGGACATGGTTTTGGTTGTGCTGAATTTGTTTCAAAATAACATTTCTTGTATACCTTCGATAAGTGAGATAGGCATTTGAAATTAAATACAGATAGTATACTTGACAGTTAATGCAGTAAACAGTAATACAATTCATTCTTACATAATAAGTCCAGACAAAAAGTTGTTATTGTGTTAGTTTAACTGGGCATAAATTACACTCATTGGCCTTGGTTTTCTTAATTGGCTTGGATAAAATGTTGTTCTGTTTATTCAGAAAAGGAGTATAGTTCAATATACAAGTTCACATTCGTTCCATCCTCTTGTAGAAATGAATCTCATATTATTTCATCTCAAATATAGAACACAAAAATATAATAAAAAAACAAGTTTCTATCAATTGCAAAAGTTAGCTTCTATGTCATGACTGAGTTTGGGTTCCGCTTCTAGGGAAAAAATATCCATCTGGAAATATCGTATTGACCATTGCTATACACTCCATATTTAATCCTCCCAGTAAATAACATTGATATACAGTGTACAAGTATTTATCCCATACTTGGACGTGTTACAGGTACATAAAGCCGGTTTGTAAAACCTTATATTTTCATCAGCGGGCAGATATAGCTTTACGTCCCGCTCCGAGCGGGCAGATATAGTATATCTGCCCGCTACGTCATAATCGCTGTTCACGTCTTGGTTCGTTTTTGTAACGTTCGCATACTGTAGACGACAATGGAGAATAACGAAGACAATCGCGATCTGTTTGATGCTCTAAAGAAGGGAAGGAGCAGTATGCCCCGTTATTAATCAAAGATTTGAACAGGAAAATCCGGCTACGGACAAGAATACAAAACTGGACATGAATATTTAAAAATAATTCCACGGTTGGTTGCAGAGTTTCTGAACTGTGGCCAATTGGACAATGTGATTGGTATGGGATAAACAGATCATCCTATAGTCGGTTCAGGATATTGGGATTATCCCTTGGTCAATATAATATATCTACCCTCGGGACCTACGGCCCTCGGGCAGATATATTATATTGGCCTCGGGATAATTCCAATATCCTGAACCTCATATAGGATAATCTCTATTTATCCCATAATTTGACGTGTTACGGGTACATAAAGCCGGTTTGTAAAAACTTATATTTTCATCAGCGGGCAGATATAGCTTTACGTCCCGCTCCGAGCGGGCAGATATAGTATATCTGCCCGCTACGTCATAATCGCTGTTCCCGTATTGGTTCGTTTTTGTAACGTTCGCATACTGTAAACGACAATGGAGAAAAACACAGACAATCGCGAGCTGTTTGATGCTCTAAAGAAGGGAAGGATCAGTTTCCCCTGTTAATAATCAAAGATTTGAACAGGAAAATCCGGCCACGGACAAGAATACAAAACTGGACATGAACATAAAAAAAATAATTCCACGGTTGGTTGCAAAGGTTCTGAACTTTGGCCAATTGAACAATGTGATTGATATGGGATAAACAGATCATCCTATAGTCGGTTCAGGATATTGGGATTATCCCTTTGCCAATATAATATATCTACCCTCGGGCCCTACTGCCCTCGGGCAGATATATTATATTGGCCTCGGGATAATCCCAATATCCTGAACCTCATATAGGATAATCTCTATATATGACATCGAGGATCTGGGGTTTGGGTAATGTGAGACATGAGGCCACTTGTCTTTTTGAATCTCATATTCAATATTCTTTCTTTAAACCCTCATATTTAATATTTTTGGAGTGGTAATTCAATTATGTACCTATTTTTATTCTTTATCCCATAGTTGAACTCTGTTCCACTCTGTTAGGTAACATGAAAACCTATTTATGATATTTTGCAAATGCGTGGAAAAAGTGATATCTGTGGAATACGGAAAATATTTCACAGATATCACCTTTTGGCAGGGATTTGAAAACTACCACCAATGTGATGTGTTTTGTTACATATTGATTTCATGACATCACGGGGATGAATGAATGAATGGATGTTGTTTTGATATGCTTTGTTTAGTTTTAGAGGTGAACTATGGGAAAAAATAACATCCTATGAATTTTCGTGATATTGTGTTAATCCAACTCATTGATATCAATATCTGCGCTAATTCGCTATGCTAACTTGGCAAGATATTGATATCAACTCGGAGATAAAGATAAAATCATTTAAAATCATCATGATATCCTTTACATATCCTTTACATATCCTTTACTGTGCCACAACTTTCTCATATGTTATATATTTTGGCACAGGCCATCATTTATTTTCCTTGAATTCATGCTTTTGTTCCTCGTTTTAGAAATGAGAGGAAATCTTTGATTTTCCTTGTATTTAAGTTGCTTAAATATTGCCCTGTGATGTTGATAAAAGTCAATAGTAATCCATTACAGTCACAATTGAAATGTACCCATTGCTAGCCCAGAACCTACCTAAATAGCATTTGCATTTTGTCAATATTGCCCTATGTGCTTTTCCATGAAAATAATTTTAATCTTATCTTTTCTTCAGTATTTCATATATTACATTTTAATATATTTATATTGGTTAATATTGATATACTATTTACTTAGACAACAATAAATAAAGAATTTTTGTAAAAACACCAAAAATGGTGTATGATCTTTAGATGACTGTTGTGTGAACATCAAAGGTCAAAATTCGCTGAAATTGTATTTTTATAAAGCACAAATGATTTTTCTTCAATATGATATGCATTATTATCAGATATCTTTGGGGGCTAAAAAGGGCCCTTAATGACACCCGTATTTTGAATCACTCCTTCCCCACAATGTCTACATCTTTCACGTTTGCACAACGAGTGAACTAATGTACCTAGAAAAGAATGTAGAGAAGAATGTTTTGATAAATGTATAAAAAACAAGAAAATTCAGTGAAAAAGAATCAGAAGATAACAAGAGTTCTGCTTTAACCTTCAATCAATTTTACTACTCCCATATATCGTTTACATGACCAGGATCACAGTGGTCATGGTCATAATGACCCTTACCATGCTGAAATAGCTTTTTCATCCCTCCGAAATTGTGACTGAAAAACGTAAGAATTTCCGAAAGGCCACTCAACAGAATATTTAGAATTTTTCAGGAAATGTGCACAATATATTGTTTTAAATAATAGGACCTTTGAAAATTAGAAAAATTGTCCGAAACAAAAATTGTGGACATAAAAAGGAAAACGATTTTTTTCTCTATTTCTAGAAATGAATTCAAATTTTCAAAGCTATCATTTATGGCCAGTGTGCATGTTCGGAATTTTGCTGAGTTCCTAAATTGAGTCACATTTTATCAAAACATTCTTTTCTACATTCTTTTCTAGGTACATTAGTGCACTCGTTGTACAAAAATGAGATGTAGACATTGTGAGGAAGGAGTGATTCAAATTTGAAAAATAACACGTGACCCTATTGAGGGTTGCAGCAAAATTCCGAACATGCACCCTGACCTAAAGCAATATGTTGGGCACATTGTCTGAAAAATTACAAATATTTTGTGATCCTGGTCATGCAGATGATATATGGGAGTAGTACAACTGACTGAAGATCAAATCAGAACTCCGTTATCTTACTTCAAAAATTCTAAAATCCACATGTTTTTTTTCATTTCCCGTTTGGTGTAAATTTCTGATAACTATCCAGAGTCCTTAAGCAACTTTAAGATAGTTAAAACTATCTTATTTCCATGAAGTTGCAATGTTTTCATATGGCAATTAAGAACAGCCCTAATTGTTAAAGACAATTATTTTTATTTTAGTCAAAACAATAATGCGGGTATTAATACTGTTAGTCTTGGTAAGTGGAAGTCTCGCATGTCAAAGACAACATATATGTGATGACGTTATTCAAACAACACCCTCACCAACCAGTCCACCCCTTACACCAACCAGTCAACCCCTTACACCAACCAGTCAACCCCTTACACCAACCAGTCCACCCCTTACACCAACCAGTCCACCCGTGACGCCAACTCCTCAACCAACAATACCTGAACCAACTGAAGAAAGTTCACAAGAGTGCCCAATATACACCACACCTGCCCCTGTATGTGAAGTAACAGACGATCCCAAAGAAAACAAAACTATTGTCAAAGATATAGATATAGAGGAGCTACCTAAAGAACCGGATGCTTGTGCAAAGGAAGCATCAGAACGCGAGGAAATGGAGAGAATTGAACGGGAGAGGTGAATATGATATCCTAACAAAATAGGGTGGTCCAAAAAGTGGATCCTTGCAAATAATCTCAATTATTACCCGCACTAAAGAGCGGCTAATATTCTAACATGTTTTAGAGGAAGGTCTAATTTTATGTGGGAACAATAAAGGTCCCCCAATCTTAAATCACGCAGATGTTACGTGGCATCAACAGACATGCCTGATTAATTAATGATGTGCTCGCCCCATGTTCCACGATTCTTGATAACTGCTGCGTCACCAATTATGAACATGGCCGACACTACTTAAATTTCAAAAACTACAAAATACTTCAATAAAATATACTGTAAAAATATTTTCCTTTATGAATATTGCATTGTGGTCCTTTGATTGCTTATTTTTAGGTTTGATTGAACCACAAATATTTGACTAATTTAAGCTCAGAAGTCCGATGATGTTTTAGAATTAAAGCCATAATTTACAAATTTATAAATGCATACGGTATGAATAATTCTCTTCCCCAAAATTAGCAAGCAGACATCGAACCTAGAGGCGTTAATTACAACTGATGACTACTCTTGCGGAGATGTTCACTTATAATTAAATTATCATGGTTTACAATTCATAATTTCAAAATTTCAGGACATTCATATTTGGCACAGAGATTGGATGGTACCCAGCGTCTTTCATGTAAGTTATACATTCACTTAGCAATCATTATAACGTTTCAATGGTTAAATTATCCCTTGGAGCAATCACAATGCCATTTGTGCAGAATAAACAAATATGCTTTAATTTCATGATAAGCAAATCAATATAAAACGGTGAAGAACTTCAAAATTTCTTGGTTAATTCTTTGATTCGAATATATGCATGCTACAGAGTAAAGACTTGTTTTCCATTTTACGAAAAACACTTTTTTAAATTCGCACATACATGTTTGAATGTACACTGTTGCTCATAAATATGGAATATTAGATTTGGCAGCTCAGAATTCAAAGTTTGGAGTAAGAGAACATTTATTTGGAGTTGGCTCAGACATTTATTTTCTAGGCAAATCATAACCACATATTTCACCTACAAATCAACATGTTTTAGAGAAAAATATTAACATTTGAGTTTAGAAAATTACTGTTACTTAAACAGGGGTACGCTAAGAATTTTTGCATTTTCAAAACACCCCGATACAAATCGTCATTACACGTCGCACGAAACTGGGGACAATTAGCGTAACATTATCACGGGGGATAAGCAAAACGAGGGCGAAGCCACGGACTGCGACTCGCGTAATTCAAAACGAGGTTACAACGCATTATAGCTGAACAATGGCGGTAAGTCCAAACTTAATTTGGAAGGCATGTTAGGATTTGGGGTAGATTATTGGTTTGGATATTCTACAGAATAGCTAGTATGTTCCAGTCGGTGATCAACATATTCATACTCCACCTGCAATGGCGTTCTTGGTGCTCGGCTGTCCAATAGTTTAGCATGAACACAAATGAATTCGAAATCTGCCACAAAAAAATGTAATTTTGTCAATATTTGTCCCTAATATACCGATTTAAACAAAGGAATCAGAAATGACATCGAATTAATATAATTATTCATGTTCTGTTGTTACAATTACATCTTCGTGTGATATTTGGTAAGCGGAAAACGTACAATTACATAGAAAATTGGAATTTATAATAGTCGCAGTCCATCCATCTGCCCAACGCAGTCCGCGACTCAGTGTTGCTTTATATCTGAAGCTGAACGCAATCACAGCCAAAGGTAGATAGCACAATGTGTGTACAGGTGTGGCCGAAATGGAGCAACTTTGGACAAAATTGAATATAAAGGGCTATTTTAATAGACCTACATCGTGTCTCAATCCATTCTGCAAATATATACAAGCTGTCAAATACAGCTGAAATCATGAATTTACGGTAGCTAGCAATATTGATGGACTGTTGGAAAGATCATCCAAAATTACATTAACTCACCAACTCTCCAATTATTTGATATTTTCCTAATATCTTAAATACTAGTTAATGTACCCTTCCCCAACAGCTTTTATTGCATCATCAAAAAGTTAATTGTTTCGCATTTCTACTTCTTATAAAAAGTCTCACCACTATCCAATTATCTATATATTTAACCCTATCCACAAATTGGTTTGTAATAAACATATTACGTTGTCACCAGGAATATAGTTTACACTATCTTATTTATTTCGTGTTCGCGGCTGGACTGCGTTGCTTAGAATATCAATGGAGTCTGTGTTGCGTTGTTGAAATAGCTTTGTTTACTGGACTGCGTCCACTATGAATGCGCAGTTTGAATCTAATTTTCTCCTCATGAACACATTCTATTATCAAATCATTTTCACGAATTATACTCGGAGCCTCAACTAACCTTTAGATATCAGAAACGTGTTAAAACTCCTTTCAAATGTATAGTAAATTAAATAATATGCACATATTTTACAGGTAAAATCAGAACTTTGCTACTGTTTTAGCTTGATCTGGACAACTGCTTATTTTCTTATCTACAGACCAACAGTAGATACAGAGTAATATTTTGGTCACCGATTAGACACTACGATAGCATTTAAAATACCTGGATTTCTCTATTTTGTTTGAAGAAGCAGAAGGCACTGCCGAATGTCCCTCCATTTTGGCGCTGGGCTGCGGTGTAAAGTTACGCGAGTCGCAGTCCGTGGCTTCGCCCTCGTTTTGCTTATCCCCCGTGATTATGGCGTCAAAAAACCAAGACAAAACAATGAGCAGCATAGGGCGCAAACAGCCTTAGAACGTCAAAAACGACAAGCGTCACATTTTTGTCAAGTTTAGTCAACCTAAAAATAAAATACTTTATCCTTATCTAATCATGACAAAATTCACAGGGTAGCAAGATCTCGAGGACAATATTTCTAAAATGTTTTTGAATTTTGGAAAACGGTCAAGAAATCCACTTGGGGCGTTGGTAAAAATTGATATGTATGGAATTTGTGGTAGAAAATCGATGCGTCACATTTTTTTCAAGTCTCGAAAACCAGCTCTTATTTTAATATTATTTGCAAAATAAACAAACTGGTTATTGTTTTGTAAATTTCGCCATGACAATATTGTGCAGTTAATTTTTCTTTCATATCAGACTTGAATTAGAGTCCATTTCACTGCTTCAGTTCGTCAGTAGAACGGCAAAAATAAGAAATTGGGAGACTATTGTGCAATAATATATGGAAAAGTATATTCATAATGTTCATGAATGACATTTGTATATTTCAGATTTTTTAGTTTTTTGTGCAATAAGCCTGTGCCGTCTTGTAATTTGAAGAATTTCAGCCATGTTAATCTTATTGAAAATAACATGGCAGAGAAACATCCAAATATAAGAGGCCACACACTTTATAAGCCAAACTAGAAGCAATCCAAGATATACAAATGTCATTCATGTACATTATGAATATACTTTTCTATATATTATTGCACAATGGTCTCCCAATTTCTTATTTTTGCCGTTCTACTGACGAACTGAAGCAGTGAAATGGACTCTAGAAGGTTAAATGAAGGTAAACTTATTGCTCGTCCCATTCGCCTTCAAAACCTTACACAATTTTGAAAATTTTAAAAGCGTTCATATATGATAATTTAAACTGTAACCGTTAAGCAATTGTGACGTCATAAATGAACATGTTCCATTGAATAAATTGTGAAATTTTAGTGGGATTTTGATCATTATTTCAAAAGTTATCCCAATTTCAACGAGCCCTGTAAGTGTAAAGTGTTACGTCTTACAGCGTATTTGACGATTTTGGGATATGTTTAACTTTAAAAATATGTTGGATCCCATCAAAATTTTGAAGAAAAAATAATTTCACTGAAATGCGAATAAAAAATACTTCAAAATGATATATAAAACACATAGCTAGCTTTTTAAATAAGGCAGAGATTAACGCTCAAAGCTGAAATCAGCCCGTATTTCCCGAATTGTCCCCAGGTCCGTGCACGTCATACATGTAAAACAGATCAAACAAAATAAACATCTGGTCATGAAGATTGAAGTGTCCTCTATCCAATGATAGCACTAATATGTGTTATGTCCTCTTTGTGCTGCAATCAGAGCATCAACCCTACGGGACCAGCATTGAATGAAACATCTGACCTTTCAAAGCGAAATAAGGCCCCATTCCTCAATCTGGGCAGTGCGTAACGTGTCTAAATTTTGAGGTGGGGGTCCAAGTCACGAATCTCATTACCAAGGTCGTCCCACATTTGCTCTGCATTAGCCTGATTGGCTGACTTTGGTGCCCATGGTAGCTGGTCCACATTGCCTGCCCTGGTGTAATCCAACACAATGCCACTAGCATATGCAACAGGATGATCACTCTGCAGTTGAATGTTGCCCCAAAACACTATGTTTACATGTGGTACTTGATGGAGGTCCAAAAAGCCAATTTACTATGAAATTATGTTTGGGAATCACCAAGGGGGTGCAATTTCTGTAGTACTGCTCCAAACAACCTCTGTAATACTGCTCCAAATATAAATAGGGTCGCCTTCATGGACTGTCACATCAGTAAGTGTCCTTATTGTCTCTTTCCCCGAGTCTACGACAGAAACGAACACAATTATCAACTTTGTGGAGGACACATCTTATTTCTTCACATGCTGTCATATTACACCAACGATTAGGTCCAACGTTTTGGTGCTTTCCTGCCCATTGAAGGTACCTTTCTTTGTTATGATCAGTCAGCTGTGGACTCTTTAAAGGTCTCATGGCCTTGCATCCGTTATAAAGAAATCACTGGTTGTCTATAGCTCTGGAACACGGGTTTTGAGGTGAGACAGCCATTCATCTCGTAGACTACTGGTTGACTTAAAGCGATTTTGATGGCATAAATGCAGCAGGTGGGGGTCTTTTCTTACATTTTTCTCTCTAGGGGTACTATTGCTGTGACCTAGAGTCATATTCCAGTGCCTTTGGTACCACTGCAGAATTTTAGAGACTGTTCCTGACACACCCCTAGGGTCCTGGCAATGGCAGTTTGTTTCATGCCAGAGAGCGCCATCCCTATGACCTGCCATGCTCTTTTTCGCTTATTCTATGGGGCATGCCTTCTAAAAACTCTTCCAACTCTAAATTAAATTTTTATAAATTGTGCACAATGATTACAACTAAGATTTGGACACCTCTTTCAAGTTACCAATATCATGAGGTCATGGGGTCACCTGAGTGAATACAAGTTTAGTCAACCATAAATGTTTTAATTTTTCATACCAATCAGTTTTATATCCAAAACTGATGAGGGAATGAGAACACATAACAAATTTTCATCAAAATGTTACCATTTTGTAGAAATTCCATCGAACAGTTCGCATCTGTAAAATATTCCATATTTATGAGCAACAGTGTACTAAGTTTAATAGTTCATACTAAGCTTAATAGTTTATAGTTATAGATGCAACCCATGCAGACAGATCGCCTAAAATTACATTCGGATGATGTAAGACTCGACATTCACAAGGAAAGGAGAAACATTTTGCCACCCATGATGCAAATAAATTTTTTATTGCTTAATAAATGATGAATGACAGTCATTTTATATTCTACAAGTTTGAGAATAGCATGCCGTCTTGATATTTCAACGTAACTCGTTCGAAAAATGATGACGTCGATTGAAATGACGATCGTAAAGATAAAACCGCAACGAATATTAGTCGATTTCTTTGAAAAACTAAGCAATATACTTAGTCATACATGTATAAATAGTAAGGCATGAAGGTCTGATTCCCCTTGGTAGCATTAACATTGGTCTCGTATATGAGTCATACTTGGTCAATATTTGAAACCCAACTACTATTCGAACTTATGATCGGACATAAGTATGATATGTACTTCAATGTAATATTAATAAAGTAACATCATACTTATAGTTCGAATGATAGCTGTATTTCAAATATTAATTGTATGATATGTATGAGACCAATGGTAATGCTACAAGGGGGAATCTGACCTGCAGGACTTATTTTTTGAAAAATCCGATATGTGATGTATATTTCTTGGATTTCCAAAGAAATCTTCAAATATTTCATTACGGTTTCATCTTTACATCGTAATTTCGATCACCGCCATCACTTTTCGAAAGAGTTACCTTGAAATATCAAGACGTCATGCTATTCTCGTACTTATAGTATTCAATGTAACTGTCCTTGACCATTTATTAAGCAGTAAAATACTAATTTCCTTCATGGGTGACAAAATGTTTCTACTTTTCTGGTGAATTTCGAGTCGCGCATTATACGAATGTAATTATATGCGATCTGTCTGCATGGGGTGTATAGATGTCTACAGTGATATGATTTCGTTATGTTTTTTGAAACTTGCGGCTGCGTACACAGTCAGAATGCAGTTATGATTTGGGGTAAGTCCAGATCATGATCTATATCTAGAGAAAGTAACAATGGATATAGATCATGATTTGAGCTTGCCCCAAATCATAACTGCATACTAGCTGTGGTTGGGTACACAACCTTCATCATGTCCATGTACAGGGTGTTTTATAATGACCGTCCCCCTAGCCACAGTCAATCCTAGATCACGTGGCCCCATAATCTATACGCCATAGTAAAGGTTATTCAATTCTGGACTTATGTGCCAAATGTTAGCACTGGTCAATGAAAACATAATTTGCAAACTTATGTTTGATAGTCACTATACCCTTTACTCACTTCGAGAGCCATGTTAGATTTTGAAACTTATGGCTCTCAAACGGAGAAGTGAACAGCTCATCAATAGTGACCTTTGAAATTGAATTAAGTCGATCCGCGGCTTACTTTTGGTCTCTAACTGTGTCTTACATCAGTATCATCAATCCGTGTAAGTATTGGAGCGCTGGAGTACTTCTTTTTCGATCAAGACTTGGAGCGCTGGAGTACTTCTTTTTCGATCAAGACTTGTAAATTGTTCATCGAGTTAAAGTTTTACAGACCTATTTCCAATATGGCGGTTTGCTAGGTGCGAGATACGCAACGAACGAAATGAATTTTGAGAATTAGTTAGGTTCGGACAACCTCCGGAGATTTACGAAAATGTCCGAGCAGAAACCGCCATATTGGAATTTGGCAGTAAAACGATTCACTCGACTAACAATTACAAGTCTTGGTCGAAAAAGAAGTACTCCAGCGCTCCAATACTTACACGGATTGATGATACTGATGTAAGACACAGTTAGAGACCAAAAGTAAGCCGCGGATCGACTTAATTCGATTTCAAAGGTCACGATCATTGAGCTGTCCAAATGCTCCGTGGGAAAGCTATTATATCAAAATCGAAATAGCTTTCGCAGGAAGTAATATACCCTCAGTTTATGTGATTTGTGGCTACCATTTCTAATGGATTAAAGAGAGGAGCATATTGCTATATAATCCATTGAATCACCAAGAGCTCTCTGGGTACTTCTTTGAAATATTTAATACTTTTTTCTTTAAAATATCATTGGGTATATTTCCAGCATCCATCAAATGTTTATAAGTTGAACATTACTTTAGATAATAGTGTATTGAGGCATGGTTATCATAGCTGTTTGAAGGGCACGTGGCTTATTTTGGAAAAAAAGTAGCTATCAGATTCTATGCTTAATGAAAAATGGGTACCTTTTGTAGAGGTATGTAGCAAGTTGTAAAGACTATTGAGCTTATTCAAAACTGTTTTAATTAGTCTAGAATTGAACAAGCTTTCATATGATATATAAGTTAACATATGCTGGTATGCTATTTGGGATTGGTGGTTGGTGGTTGATGGGGGGACGGTCATTATGAAACACCCTGTACATACAGTATACTTGAAATTCAATTCCAATACATTTTCACCTCATAGAAACCCTCTGTCACAAGAACCAGATGGCTTTGCGCACGATCTTATAAGAACAGTATGCGAACAGTGTGGAAGAAAATGTGAAGTTGTAGTCCTACCGAATGATGGCCCTGGAGAAAATATGGAAGCTTGTCTTTCAGCAGGCACAGGTACTCGCCCAGATAACATCTCGGTTTTATTTAATGAGAAAATGATGTTGATATTTCGTATATGTTTATGATAGACCATGTGTGAATTGTTTCCTGTTTATTCAATCATGCATTTAACCTTCCTAGTTCTTCCATTTGTTTTACAGGTCTAAACAATCACCATTTTGATGTTTGTGCTGGAGGTACACCTACAGTTCAACGTAAAAACACATTTTCGTACAGCGCACCATGGGGCCACCCGTTCAGAAGTATTGCATATACTTTAGCAAGCAGCGATATAAACAGTTTAAAGGATATCACATCAAATCATAAGATCGGTAAGAAATTACAAAATGCATTGTCAAATCATGACGATCACTTTCATCCTCTAAACTAGTTCTAAACGCACGATAGTGATAAATATTGTTTATTTGATTTAGGTGTTGCACGGAGCTTCTATGCTGACAAATACTGTTTACGTAACAAACTTGGGGTAGATGTAAATGATGAAAATCTAATAGAGTTCAATCTCACGTTCAATGACTTCTGGGCGCCCATGGTTGATGCCTTAAAAGGCACTAGGAACGATCTAGAGCAGGTATGGCGAATTGAACCTGGTGTCATGGCCTTTAATTGTTTTCTGTTTTCACGTATACTGTCGACAAAAATCTAGACTAAGAACTAAAACCAAGTGATTAATGAAACTTCATTTTTATCTAATGAGGAAACTAAATAATCAAAAAGTATGTGTTTGTATTTCGATTTGCAGGTTGATGTAATACTTGTAGATTATGATGACGTCATGTTTCCCTATTCAGACACTTCGCTTCAGCGAATAGGTGAAGAACCTTTAATTTTATTTTCAAAGCTTTAATTTTATAGAAAGACATGAACTTTAAATGATTGACATCATTATGTGATGTTACCCATCAAGCCCGTGAGCAACTTTTCTCCAATTGAGTTGCGGTTTTCAACTCACACGTTACGCTTTTGCAATTACGTACATTTGTCCGTCTGCAAGTGAACAACAGTGGTAGTTTCATAACTCTGTCGATAAAAGTCCACTTAACTAAATCCTTCCTGTTAATTATCGACTGAAAAAAATCAACGAAAAAACTAAGCTTCCCAGTTCAAAACTCCCCTGTTTTCAAAATAGCCGCCACTTTTACGTCTCTTTGGTCATAACACCAAAAGTGTTCCATTAATTTGCTTCCTATACAGTATTATATACAGCTTATTTTAAAGATACGATAATATCTATAAAGACTTGGTTATTCAACGTTGCCGCCACTTTTATTGCCGAAAATGAACTTTTCAGCTCATTTTGGACATATCCTACTCCAAAGGTATTTGAACAATTTCCTCCAACTAATATTAGGTACATGTACCTTAGTTTTCACTTTTGGGCTAAAATTTCAAAATGTCTACTTTTATTTTATGGAAAATCATGTAATAAATGATTAAAACATAATCTGTATAAATTCGGCTGAAATCGCGACATGGGAGCATGTTGTGGAGTTTTCTAATATTCGGCCTATGATGTTATATGCTTTCTAACATCTAGCCAAAGTGTTAAATTTCTAGAAAGCAATTAAAGCGAATTTAAAACTATTATATAAGGTAAATGAATTTAATGATGTGAATTGCATCCTATAATGAGAGTCAATTTGAAAAATGTATGTTTTAATATGTACCAGAGCTTTTGGATAGGACTGTTGCAAATGTCTGAATGAATGGAGGTGATGTGAAAAATTGATCACCCGTTTTTGATTTATTGTACTTGTAGCATGTTTGAGTTAACCTCTGATTTTAGGCGAACCAGTACAATGTGCGGATTCTGGTTATAGCTTCATGCACCGAAAGGACTTCGACTTCACCTGGTTCGAGCAGTGCCTCGGCCAAGTGGCGTACAGTGGCTACTACACATTCTTGTGCAATAAATGGGGTGAGTCCCCTCTTCAGAGATTTGTTCGGGTATAGTGCATGTTCTGTGTTGAAATTGTTCTGTCCATTTTCCCCTCCTTTTAAACATCACATTACTAACCTACTACCAAATATTCACGTGTTAAAGTTTTTCATTCTGAAAGGATCGGGTTAAAGAGTCCATATTTGTGCAACCCCTCTGGAAAGTCTAGCTTGTCGAAGACATCACGTGACTCTAGTACCTCATTTTAAGAAACCAGATTTTTAAAGTGTGCCCTCCTCAACCATGCGTTTCGAATTCGAACGTTTAAGTAATTTTAAAAGGTAAGAAGGAGGAATATGTTTTGTGAGGGAGTGGTACAAACTAGTTGACATAAAAACAATACCACAGAAAGTATGTGTCTACAAATTTTTGAACATGTGTAATGAATTAAACAGTCAAACAACATTAAACCAACACTAATCCTAATGCAAAGTGCTTGTAGATTGTGTATCTAGTAAGATTATTGATTCTGCGTGGTTTTAGTATATTATCGAAACACGAAATATCTTAACTTCAACGTTTCCAGTTCTATTTTGATCCAACTTATTTGTTCTTCATATGTACTTAAGTTGGTATATTTACCATTGAGCTAAGAGAGATTTATCGTTTTCAAACTAATTGCCATAGTGTATGTGTTCACAGAGAGAAAATATTATGAAACAAGCACGTTTGATACATTTATAATATTAAAAAAACTTTATGAACAAGGATCGCGTCATATTTGACTAAACCATTTGAAATAGAAAAAGAATTGAAAGAAACTTCAGTTTCTAATGATTTGATGACGTGTTGTTCATAGAGATAGTCCTATATTATACCATACTGTACCATGAACCATTTAAAAGCTGGTTTATGTTCTACGTCCTCCACCTGGGCGAAAATGGGTAAATACTGAAGTATCTCTCCTGTATCCTATGCGCTGTATACTCAAATATTCTCACTCATGTACCTAGAACCACATGAGGTATGGGATACACGTTCATATTTCAGGCATCAGTGCGTATTGTTATACTGTTGAGGAATTCCCCACACCACCATGTGTCCAAGACATGGCGGTATGTGATATTGATGGTGCAAATGAAGCTGATGCAGATGATAGATATGAAGACAAGAGTGATATAGATGGAAATGAAGGCTTGTGTACAGAGCTTGAAGAATTTGAAAGATTGGAACGTGATAGGTAATTTGTTTTGGGAAAAGGTGGAAGACAATAGGGAGGTTAAGATGAGCGTAAATAACCCATTTGCACGTACCTATACCTATATACGTAGTTTGTATAAGGGGTATTTTACCTAAGGTACAGGCTTTACGATACATAATTACCTATAACTGGCCGAAAATGGGTAAAGTTCGAAAACGTATGTTTTTATTCAACAAATTACGTCATTTCTAGATCAAATATCATCCACATCCATTAAACTTTAAAATATTAACAACAAACATTTCTCATTCGATCTGGATAGAAATAAAGTGGTCGAACACATCCAGTTTTGGGTCACTCTCATTGCTGGATCATGCTAGAAATTTAACATTTCGCCTTAAGTCACTGCCCCATTAGCGGGCCCACAAGCAACACCCCCTCTCAACTACAGTAGCTACACCACACTCTCTCTGAAGTATCTAACAGTTCTTGGAGGTGACATGTACTGCATTCTGATACTCAGACCATCTTTGCAATGCACAAGAATCATTCTAGAAAGGAAACTGAGAGAAGGCTGTTTAAGAAGCAGGAGAAACTGCATTCAAAACATCACGTATAAATGGGCCATACAGTCCTCGGGTCTCTGAGATCATCGCATACCAAAATAATTTGTTCGTGCTAACCCTATATTTCATGTTCTGGTGATCTGGACATGCAATGCCCTCTATATATCATGTAAAACTGAATCAAATGAGATTAAATTTTATAGTATATCCGTTATAGGACTTTTACTTTCACTGGGCAAACGATAGATGGATTTACTGCTCAGCTTGTAAGGGAAACATGTGAGCATTGTGGTAGGAGATGTGAATTTACGTTGTTACCGGGGAATCCAACTGATCGTTTTTTGGAGTCATGCACGGCTGCATTCAAAGGTAATACTTTACTGTTGGTGACTGATACAACACATAAATCACCATTTCAGTAATTTATGACCTTTCTTGATCAACTTTCAAAACAGAATCTGTTTTATAGACTAGTTTAAATATTTGAAGCCATTTGTACAGTAAATCCAGAAATATTTATTAAATGAAGTTTTCCTTTCAGTAAAATAGACTACATCGTGCTGGTATTTTCAATGGGTTCATGAGAAGTAATGAAGAGACCCAAGGAAAGCCACATCAGAGCTTACAATAAATTATCAAAAATATTCTCTAATCCCTAGTTTTTTCTTAATTTCCGAAGCCAGGCTGCGGATATATTCATTATTCCAACATGACTGTATTCACGCCTAATATAAACTGTAAACAAAGTCAACATTTCACCCGGGTATATTCGCGATCAATACCCCCGGTAATACGTGTAACATGTGACGTCATTTTCATGTTCCAATCGTAATATAGACCTCCGAGCAGAGGTAATATTGTCGAATACACCCCGCAGGCTAGGCACAAACGTTTTCTGTACCCCGAACGACCGAAGAGTGGTTCGAAAGCTTTTGTGAATAGCCCCTGCTCTTTGGTTTATATTTCTTAAATAAAACGGGATTCATTTATTTTTGTTTACATGTCTACCTACACCTTCTAGTCCTTCAAAAACAATTAAAAAACACATTAGTAAAAAGTACAAAATTTAGCTATTTTCTACGGGAGTTTTTTCTCATCGGGTCCAGGCCTTGTTCTGTAGTAATCCATAGTCCATGCTGTTTTCTTTGCATCTCCAGGTTTGCGGAATGGTTATTATGACGCATGCATGGATGCAACCAATAGCATTTATTTGGAGAACATGTTTTCGTTCAGTGCACCTCTAATGAAAAGTGAACAAACCATAGTTGTGACCAGATTTGACACAGGAATTGTACAGTTTACCGATCTTAGATTAGATCACAAGATCGGTAAGTGAAATACATCTATCAGGCCGCAATATATTCAGGATTCAGCAGTGTACGTACAGGGAAGACTCCCTATACAGGGTGAAACTGTTTCTTGTAGACAGATGTTACTTACAAAGTCTGTCATATGCGACATGTATACTGATATTCTTACTGATATCCAAGTTTTTCAAACCTTCTTTTTGTTAATGATCTGTCAATTGAAAACTTTAATATTCAAAAGACTCTAAAAACAGGTTTTCAGTGTCTTCATTAGATCAATTGATATGCGATCAACTTGAAAAAAGTATTGTCTTTTCTTTTCAGGTTTCGCAAAGACGTACTTCGCGAATAAATACTGTGTACGTTCTGAGCTTGGGTTCAACGTTTCTGATGAAAATGTTATTGAACTAGAAATCAAAGGTGGTAATTGGAGTCCCCTGTTTTCTGCACTGAGGGAAAACAAGGTACGAATCCCAGTTTTTAGAAAAGGTCTCTATTGTATTCGTGTACATAATATGTCTACTCTCGACATCCAGTTATAAAAGACAATGTACTTGTTTGATTGCGTATCTGTGCCTAAGACAGAGGATACACAAGAGGAGCTTTTGGATTTAATTTCTCTTCGAGTTTTGATTAAGCTAAGTTCACACCAACGGCGCTTTGATGGCGCTTTGATACGACTTAGCTTTAGTATAGGTAACGAATTAAATCCAAATATGGTGGTAATCAAATACAAAACTCTTCGCTGAACTTTTCCCTTCTGGAATCACACTTTTTTGAAACTACTATTTATCTACCATTTGACATCCCATTTTTGTGGAATCATCTTTTATCTCCAACTTTACTTTTTAATCGGCTTGTTTCAAGACCTTCTGAACCAAACCTTTTAGAACCAGCCTTTCTTTAAACAGCATTTACTCGGATCAGACTTTGTCAAATAGACGGGTATTTTCCATTCCGTATTTTTAGGTAGACGTGATACTGATATCGGACGGTTCACTCCCCAACTCTGAGTTTCGGCTGGTCGGCAAGCCTTTTCAATGTGGCTCCAGTGGAAAAGGATTAATGTTCAGAAAAGATTCTGATTTCTCCTGGTTTGATAAATGTTTTAATGAACTTGTTGACAATGAAAGGTACTACACACTCTGCAACAACTTGGGTAAGTGTAATAAAACACATGTTTTCGTTCCTATGTATAAAAAGGGCACTTTATATACACTGTTGCTCATAAATACGGAATATTTTATAGATACGAACTGTTCGATGGAATTTCTACAAAATGATAACATTTTGATGAAAATTTGTAATGTGTTCTCATTCCCTCATCAGTTTTGCATATAAAACTGATTGGTATGAAAAGTTAAAACATTTATGGTTGATTAAACTTGGTAACCCCATGACCTCATGATATTGGTAACTTGAAAGAGGTGTCCAAATCGTAGTTGTAATCATTGTGCACATTTTATAAAAAATCAATTTAGAGTTGAAAGAGTTTTTAGAAGGCATGCCCCATAGAATAAGCGAAAAAGAGCATGGCATGTCATAGGTATGGCGCTCTCTGGCATAAAACAAACTGCCATTGCCAGGACCCTAGGGGTGTGTCAGGAACGGTCTCTAAAATTTTGCAGTGGTACCAAAGGCACTGGAATATGACTCCAGGTCACAGCAATAGTAGCCTTAGAGACAAAAATGTAAGAAAAGACCACCACCTGCTGCATTTATGTCATCAAAATCGCTTTAAGTCGACCAGTAGTCTGTGAGATGAATGGCTGTCTCACCTCAAAACCCGTTTTCCAGAGCTATAGACAACTAGTGATTTCTTTATAACCGATGCAAGGCCATGAGACCTTTAAAGAGACCACAGCTGACTAATCATAACAAAGAAATGTACCCTCAATGGGCAGGAAAGCACCAAAACGTTGGACCTAATCTTTGGTGTCATATGACAGCATGTGAAGAAATAAGATGTGTCCTCCACAAAGTTGATAATTGTGTTCGTTTCTGTCGTAGACCAGGGGAAAGAGGCAATAAGGACACTTACTGATGTGGCAGTCCATGAAGGCGGCCCTATTTATGTTTGGAGCAGTATTACAGAGGTTGTTTGGAGCAGTACTACAGAAATTGCACCCCCTTGGTGATTCACAAACATAATTTCGAGTAAATTGACCTTTTGGACCTCCATCAAGTACCACATGTTAACAGAGTGTTTTGGGGCAACATTCGACTGCAGAATGATCATGCGGTTGCATATACTAGTGGCATCGTGTTGGATTACATCAGGGTAGGCAATGTGGATCAGCTACCATGGGCACAAAAGTCCGCCAATGAGGCTAATGCAGAGTAAATGCGAGACGACCTTAGTAATGAGATTCGTGACTTGGACCCCCATCTCAAAATTTAGACACGTTACGCACTGCCCAGATTGAGGAATGGGGCCTTATTTCACTTTGAAAGGTCAGATGTTTCATTCAATGCTGGTCCCGTAGGGTTGATGCTCTGATTGCAGCACAAATAGGACATGACACATATTAGTGCTACCATTGGATAGAGAACACTTCAATCTTCAAGACCAGATGTTTATTTTGTTTGTTTTGTTTTACATGACGATTTGGATCAGGGTGTTTTGAAAATGCAAAAATTCTTAGTGTACCCCTGTTTAAGTAACAGTAATTTTTTTAACTTAAATGTTAATATTTTTTCTCTAAAAAAATGTTGATTTGTAGGTGAAATATGTGGTTATGATTTGCCTAGAAAATAAATGTCTGAGCCAACTCCAAATAAATGTTCTCTTACTCCAAACTTTGAATTCTGAGCTTCCAAAGCTAATATTCCATATTTATGAGCAACAGTGTATTATGTGACATAGGTCACGCAGCAGTTCTCCATATTGGATTGTCCCTTTGACACTGGTCAAACTTATCACCTATAAATTTTCGTGTGACGATTCTTAATTATTTCTCTTTTGACAACATAACTAAATATCGCACATCTCCCTAATATTCCATATGTCAAATGTATGTACATAATGTTAAATCATTACATTGATTAATCATCTTAGGTGTATCATCACTTGCCTACTGTTATGGCTTAAAGGACTATGGACGAGTATTCCAGGCGTATTAGTGAAATGATGCTACCTTGGTTTAATCATCAACTCACAAGGACTCTAATGCGAATATATGTATTTCCATTCAGAATAAATATCTTAGGAATGAAAATATATACTATGATCACAGATTTTAATAATGTTAGATTAGCTTTAATATTGAAATATTCAAAACCGAAGACAAATATAAATGACGTCTGATCTATCAGAATTATGGTGAGGATTGAACAGAGCCTGAAGATAACAATGCAATTATAGTTCATGACATCTGTTTTTAACTTTGCAAAGAACCAATACTAATGGGAAATACAGTAATGATAATGGAAACTCAAAAGCTACGTTTCCAAAGTACGCTTAAGAAAGTCTACCATTTTTATGTCACCACCACAAGTGGTGATATATTGTTATAATCTCCAACCTTTTTGTTGACGGTATTCGGCAGTTGGTGTTTGGAGTTCGGCGGTTGGCGTATATAAAAATTGGCAGGTGGTGACATTTTGAATGTTAATTCCTTGTTTAACATTGTGTCGATGGGGATTTTACATGGTCTTCAAATAGAAGAAAGGAGATTGTTAGAAAACTACAAAGAAAACTTTTGTCACACATCTGTTTTTATGCGTGTGAGAATTTTTACTGTATTACTAGAAAATAATGTGTACGATCTACAAATACAATTGAGTAGACTTGGGGAGTTTTCACTGTACAGTGCGTATCAAAAAAACGCAACAGATTGTTATCTTGGAAAAGCACAAAACCAGTGATAACAGCATTGATTTCATTCAATACACCATAAAGCCACGTGTCTCCTCTTTACAATGATATATCATTCATTGATATTTGGTCATGGTTGGGTGAGTAATCATTCCATTTGCAAAGTGGGCCAAAATTAGCTTCTGGCCAAGTTATAAACATTGCAAAAGTCAGTGTACGGAGCCCGATGCAATATTGGACGAAAACATAAAACCAATGCTGACTGCATCCTTTTAATTCAATGTACCAAAAAAGCCAAATTACTCCTCTTTGCAATGGAATATCATTCATTCACAGAAAGTCATCTCTGGCTGAATTATCATTAATTTTGCAAAGTGGGGCAAAATTCAGCTCGGACCCAAGTTTAAAACATTGCAAAAGTCAGTACAAGGGGCATAGGGGCTATTGGAAGAAGGTGTGACAGGTATGGCACAGACAGTAAAGTGTTCATACTCCTACTCTTGCAAGAATACATCCTATACCCCTTCAAATTGCCACTACTTCCTTGCACATAAAGATGCACTCATCTGTCCACGTCATGCATGGTTAAGCCCTGAATCATGTGTGGGTTAAAGCAAAGAAAAGCAGCCCATGGGCAAATCTTGCTCGAGGTTTTGCAATATCTGGTGGAGGAATTGTGAGCACAGATGCTCCTGAGATAGCTCCAAAAGAAAAAGTCACAACAATTCAAGTCAGGGGAACTTCCATTGGCACTTAGCCCTTGCACTGATTTTTCAATATCTAAAGCTTGGCGCAGAGCCGATTTTGACTCGCTGTACAAATGGAAGGATTTCTCACCCAACCATTACCACATGTGAATGAATGACATATCATTGCAGAGAGGAGAGACATGGCTTTATGGTACATTAAATGAAATTGATGTAGTCATCACTAGTTTTGTGATTTTACGAGATAACTACTTGTTGCGTTTTTTTGATACGCCCTGTATTAATAACGTTACCTTTAAAAAAGTAATGACGGTCTGGTTTTTCTTTGTCAATTCCTTCTTACTCCGCACCTAAAACGGAAACTTTGAACACGGCCATGTTCATTTCTTTGTAGAAGCAACGACTTGCATCTCAGCGAGGGAGACGAGAACGGCAGGTATATTTACAGCTTCTATATGAAAACGTTTCTATGATGTATACATAGTTGTTTTCAATAGTTTGTTATTAATTACTTTGGTATCACTACAGTCTGCATGGTAATCCATAACACTCGTGTTGATTTGTATGGCTGGCCATCTGGACCAATGTATTTTTACGCCGTCAAAACTGATTTTTTACGCCGTCAAAACTGATTTTTTACGCCGTCAAAACTGATTTTTTACGCCTTTCGAAATTGCGAACGTACAGAACATTGTTAATCATTTGCGAAAAAATATTTAAACAATGAAAACTCGATGTATATCAAATTCCCGGTTGTTATATGATAGTTGTAGTCTTCCAGACAACCAAATGCGTCTGGCAAATAAAAATTCCAATATAAATGATAAATGTCACATGTACAGTAACAGAATAATAGGGTTTTGGATTTATATATCATTTATTGATTGTACCAATAATCCCTTTAAGGGCAAATGTACAAAAGAAGAGAGAAAAAAACTTGCTGCAATATTGCTCCTCAGCATTAAATAAGCTAGTAAATCCATATCTGATAGCGAGCCGATATTAGGGCATTTGGTATAAAGCAAGTCTAAATGTTTATTTGTGATATGTTTGAGCTCATTACACTTGAGCAAAAAATGTTCTTCGGTCTCCTGTGCCTTTTTACATAGTTTACAATAGTTCATATCAATCAGTCGGTAAGTCGAACATACACGTTCGTTTGTTCAATGAATACAAGATTGTAACGCTGGTTTTAATTGGCTGCCAGCTATAATTTCTAACGGCGTAAAAATTAATTTTGACGCCGTACAAAATAATTTTTAACGGCGTAAAAAATATTTTTTAACGGCGTAAAAATCGGTTTTGACGGCGTACAAAATCATTTTTAACGGCGTACAAAATCATTTTTAACGGCGTAAAAAGTAATTCTTTACGGCGTATAAAATCGTTTGTACGGCGTTAAAAATTATTTTTGACGCCGTTAAAAATGACTTTTTACGCGTACATAATTATTTTTGACGCCGTAAAAAATCAATTTTTTGAGCTCCCTATAATCATCTATTCTGCAGGAGTAGCCTATTATTTATGGATACACTGAGAATTATCCATACCTATTAACCGCCGACGAGTATAGGGAGCTTACGATGACCGTAAAATATATGATGATGAATATTATAATGAGCACGGTTATCACGATCCCAGCAATACTAATGCCCATTGAAATCTTCCCTTTGGATCTTGCACCTTCTAGGTCTCCATTATCTGCACTCGATGATGACATCACAGAGAATATTATTGCAACGATTCCTGTAAAAGATATGATCAATAGTATCAGACATATGATTTGTGTTTCAATTCCATTTAGGTGGCTAATACATTTAGATCGAATTGTCGTCTCATAAACCCGACCCAAAATCTTATTATAAAGCATGGTGGTCCGTCCGTTCGTCCGGCATTCTATAAAGGTCCGAAACCAAGGTCATTCCAAGGTAAAAGTTCAATATCTAGGTATTTGGCTTTTCAAGACACTTTGTCTGTGATGTGACCATTGTCGACCGAATATTAGGTGATCTGAGGTCAAGGTCAACTTTATGGGTCAAAGTCCTTCCAATGTCAAAGGTCAAAATCTTGGTATTTGACGTTTTAATCTTTTTACAAATAATAGAATATGACAGTATGGTAACAGTAGGTTCCCCAACTGGGAATACTAAGAAACTGAACAACCCATGACCTATGACCAGGTAGCCTAGGTCAAGGTCATTCCAAGTTCAAAGTTCAATGTTTAGGTATTTGGTGAGTTAAGGTCTTTTGGGCTGCTGTGGCCCTTGGCGACCAATGATTAGGTGGCCTGAGGATAATGTTTGTGGGTCAAGGCCATCTCAAAGCCAAAGGTCAATCTCTAACTATTTTGCGTTTTCAGGATCTTGGGGGCTGCTGTGATCCCAAGGCCAAAGATCAATATCCAAATATTTGGCGACTCATGATTAGGTGACCCGAGGTCAAAGTCAATGTTTGTGGGCCAAGGTCATCTTAGAGTCGAATGTGAATATCTAGGTATTTGACTTTTCGAGGCCTTTGGACAAGTTCACTTTAATTCAAGAATAAGTCAAGGTCAAACGATCAATATACAGGTATTTAGCATTGCAGTTGTATATTTTACCCTTCAATATACGAAGGAATAAAACTTACAATACAATATATGATGGGGTGCTGTGATCCTTGGTGACCCACTTGAACTGGTAGATTGCTAGTCTAATTAAATGTCATACTTAAGATAACAGCTTAGATATTGTTAATGACCAGTAGAAATAACTACATGCAATGATGTTTGAATTTCAAGTTTTTATCACGTATTCAAAATTCTGGCGTATTGGCGTTAATGACTGACCACATAAATTCAACTTTCAGGATTCAGTATTTTCCACGTGATATGTCGGGAATGTATGTGATGAGAAAAATCACGAAATTAAATTAGTATTGAACATTATATAGAACAATGCATGAATGTTGTATTACTTGTTAGGAATCGGTACTTTTGTGAATAGACACAATAACATTGCAACAATTATGGCACCAAAAGTACCAAAAGGTTGTATACAAAATCAAGATGAAAAATTTTACAATTAATAGCATCTCACCAAAGATAGGATTGCAGCAAATAGTTGTGAAAATAGCAAGGATCAAGTAACTGCTTGGCCGAACCATTGGAGACTGCACCACTACGGTGTTGGTCATAGGTTGTGGTTGGCTGCTAAGGACTACGTGTTGTGGATCCAATGAAGGTTGATACTGCCCATAATTCCCTTGGGGTGGTGGTCCGTAATTGGCGCTCGGGTAGCCACCTCCCTGTTGCCCAGGGGGAGGATATTGTCCTGATTGTTGCCCAGGGGGAGGATATTGTCCTGGTTGTTGCCCAGGGAGGGAATATTGTCCTGGTTGTTGCCCAGGGGGAGGATATTGTCCTGGTTGTTGCCCAGGGGGAGCATATTGTCCTGGTTGTTGCCCAGGGGGAGGATAATATTCTGGCGGCGGAACTGGTTTAGACATATCAATGAATGGAATCTGGAATGATAGATACAAATAATTCTAGTATTATAATGAGAAAAGTTTAGACTTTAGTCTTTTTGAGACCGCTTGGCTGGTCAAAATCTTAGTACGTATAGAATTTCAGGAGTATGACTACCATTTGCTAGGTGCAATGAATAGACAAGTTTGCTCTCTCGTAATGTACACTCTCAAATACATTATTGGCTCTTTTAGCTTCTGACAAGGCGTTAATTTAGGCTGCGTTTTTGAACTCCCAGCGGGCGAGTGCATTGCATAATGTATAAGTATTCCCGCTGGGTATCGCGAAAAGGAACAATGAGCCCTTGCGTTGCAAATTAAGCCCGGTATACACCAATGGGGCAAAATCCCACTTGCCCCATCGAGTCCCACAGGCTCACACGTTTTCAACAAAAGCAGTTCATCCAAGCGCACTTAAACCGCTATTCGCACATAGCTAGGCAAGGTGTGTCTGGTTCCAGCCAATCCGAACAAATTATTTCACATATAGTGTGGTCAAGGTCACTAGTCACTTTTCAAATTGGACTTGATGACTTGCCAACTTGACCCTTGTAAAAAAAATCATTGAAAATGTGATCTTTTAGTGATTTCGTTCCTTTAAAATGATTTTGTAGAAAATATTTTGCAATGTGTGAAAAGAATTTAAGCCAAAGACACAATGCACTGTGGCTGCTTCATTCCACTCAGATTGTTTCCTAAACTTTGCATTTCCGCTGCGCGGTCATGCAAGTATTTGGAAACAACATGTTCATGGAATGGTTCAGCACACAATGCACAAGTCCAAGGCTTAAATCCTTAAATTACGCTGTGGTACCTTGTCGACTGCTCGCGTGTGTCAACCGCGATCGGCTTGTTGCTAGTGAACCACTAGTCTATATCCAATAGACCGAATATCTTGTAAGCTTTACTTCCCAAGAATAAACATTATTACAATTCAATTAAGCACTATGGTACAATTAAATGCTATAAAAAGTAACACAGGATATTGTCAAATGGAAATAACAAATGGAAGTAACAAATATGCAAATTAATCTAATCCATCGGCCATTTTGAATTGCACTTCCTATGTAAACAAATATTTTTCAATCCCAGATGGTCTATAGTCTGAATATTTTCATTCCAAATTCCAAAAAAAGGAGGATATAGTCTAGTCTATAGTCTAGGATAAAGTCTAGTGCACCACAGGAGTTCGATTGCAATAAACCGTGATGTCTTTTAAAATAATTATGTGAGTGTAAGTGCGCTTGAATGAGCTTTTTTGTTGAAAATACATGAGCATGTAATTTGCACTGCGGGGCTTATTGTTCTTTTTAGTGATACCTGGGGTGGAACCTCATTAAAATATTAACGCAATTCACTGGTACCGCGGGCATACAAAATACAGAGCTAGTATACTATACGATACGATTCAATAAACATAAACATAAACATGACCATCAGTCGTGGTTCATTGTTGTTGTTGTTGGTATCTTTAGCAACGTTAGCCTCCGTCACTACGGCCGGAGCTTAACAATAATCGATATAGAAAATATATAAATAATAACTTTAGTCACAAATGATGCAAATATACAAGCATGTATTCACCGAACAAAATGATATTCTATGAATAAAAAGTTTACATAATTCCACAGATTTGCCGTTTTCTCCCTAAAATCTAGAGACCTTAAATAGCAACCCAGCCTCCCAAATAAGTATAATATACCTTAACTATTGATTTTATGTCCTAATGTTATATACCAAATTGATTGAAAATATATACCTTTAAAATGATATATAAGTCAATGTACCATATTGAACTATTTTTATCCTGATTTAAAGTTGGGTATTGGTTTTTTGGCCCACCCTGTAGTACTGCTCATCCCTATATTTTATGCTGCTTATTACTATTGCCATTTTGAGAAGCTACGGTCACCGTACGGTTGCCATTAACTACCTTATGTCGAACAACTACAGTGTACGATATACTAAACTACTTTATACTTATATACAATACTGTAGATTGAAAAGTATTGCAAATATACACGAAACACAACACGGCATTTCAGAATAGATCTATAGTAAGAAACATCAGCACTAATACGGGTACAAGCGATCATTTGGAAGCAAATCCCACCATCCAAACGATGTGTAATGGTGCTGGCAGAACCACAATCATGTGTTCTTACTTCAGAAGGCACTGTGTGAACCTCATTCAGGAACAACTATTAGGTGTACTTATTCATTGAGATGACTCATAAAAAGTCGCCCAATTTACAGATTTAAATAATTGGAAAACTCACTTGTCGTTCCAAATTGTTAATCCTCCTTTAAAGCAACGTTGGTCCACTGGCACGAAATATCAAGGAAAGTGATTTTGTATTAATTTTTGATATCTGTAATTTTGTTTTGGTTTTTTATCTCTGTATATATACTGTACTGTGTTAGCTCAATGTATGCGTCTCGGTTGATATCTCCAAGCCGGTCTTACCACTTGAGTGAACTCTGCCCATAAGTATAAGCGCCTAAGTATATAGTATTGTGTGATAATAGCAAGAGAGTCATCCAAGCAATCAACGGTCAGTTTATATATTTAGTAATACTGTAAACCATAATTTTTGCAACAACTTTGAATCAATTCAAAATTCTTTTTCCTATAAACATCGGCGATGCATCTCTACAATTTTAACAGGGATACGAAAAACGCGGTTAGTGTCTATGGGAACGAGTGGGAGTACCATCAGCAGGTATCTCAGTATAAACAGCATGTTGTCCCTTAACCTGTATGATTCCGCTGAGTGGGACAGTAATGACTAATCTTACCCATCACTCGCTGAAAGACACCACCTGTATTTCCTCTTCAACCAAACCCACCTTGAGCTGGACTCAGCTAGCACCAACTGTATTGATTGCTGTCTTAAGGTCTCATGGAAGTTAACAGGAAATGACAAAACAGGAAGTGACAATTTTTTGGGCATTTTTAGACATTTTTTGAACAAAGATAACAGAGTTCTGGTTTGACCTCCAGTCAATTTAACTGTTTCCACATATCATCTACATGACCAGGATCACAATGTGCATGGTCAGAATGACCCTAAACATGATGAAATAACCTTTTTAGTCCCTTGAAAGTGTGACTGAAAAAAAGCTAAAAGTAGGAGCTAGGGAAGGTCACTGAACAGAATCTTTTGAATTTTTCAGAAAATGTGCCCAATATAATGCTCTAACTGATACAATCTTTGAAATTTTAGAAAATTGTCGTAAACAAAAATGGCGGTCATAAAAAGGAAAATAGATCGCTTTTCAAATCAGTTTTTTCATTTTTTTTCTCTTTCTATGAATGATATCAAATTTTCAAAGATTGTACCATTTAGAGCAATATATTGGGCACATTTTCTGAAAAATTCAAAAGATTCTGTTCAGTGACCTTTCCTACCTCCTTCTTTTAGCTATTTTTCAGTCACATTTTCATAGGGCTGAAAAGGTTATTTCATGATATTTAGGGTCATTCTGACCATAAACATTGTGATCCTGGACCTGTAAATGGTATCTGGAACTAGTTGAATTGACTGGAGGTCAAAAGTGTACCCTGTTATCTTTGTTCAAAAAATGTCTAAAAATGCCCAAAAAATTGTCACTTCCTGTTTTGTCATTTCCTGTTAACTTCCATGAGACCTTAAAGGGTTCCGATTAGCATCCCGTATAAAAACAATATGGCGGCTCCAGGCGAATCAACTGGATCAGTCCATTTTTAAGAAATAAGGGGAGTTCTGTAAAATCCAGTTTATTGAAATTGTCTTTGAGATAAAGTAATCCGTTTATAATGATTTTGAAAACGTTATCCAAAGAGTGATTGCGTTCAAAAAATACATGTACAACAGCCAATATAAATCCTTGTATTAAAAACCGGTTTGTCTTGCTTTGTTTCATTTGGAGGATATTTCATATGCCAAGCTGTGTGCTATTACGTTATGGGGAAATTTAGATGCCAATTTTTCCTTATTATACACAAATAGAAGATCCTGAAACTTCACCCATAAATGTGGAATTGATTTGTCAAATTAAAAATCACTCTTTTATAAATGTGTGACGATCTATAATATACTTATGCTATATAACAGTTAGAGGTGTTGACACAACGACCTAGAACCTGTGAACCCTTGAGTATTATTCCGGGATCGGGCCTTTTATACTAAACGGTGAGCAACACCAGAAACGAGCGTTCGATTTGCTAAACGATATGCGTCACCCTTTAAGCTACAAAGAGAGGAAGCTGGAAAACCTCTACATCCTACTCCTATGGGGTACTGGGCAGTGTGCCAACCTCTGGCTTTGGCTTTGTCAACGAAGTCTTGGTACTGTGCCTCTTTCAACTGGTGTGATATGTCGAGGCGGTCTTCACATGGGACAGTTAACTCAATGATGATAATATTGTCTTACTGGTGACTGGGATCAGTAACATGGCAGGGCGGGGACTCGTGACAATTATGGTATCAAAAGATTGTAATACAAATTACGTTTTTATCATGGTATGTTATATCCATCTATGATTATGATTATAGGATATCTACTGATTTTGAGAAATATCATTTTTATCTCCCAGGTGATATTGATATCTGCACGAACGGCGAAGCAGATATCAAGATCACCGAATAGATTAGAATGATATTCATTTTGTCAATAGATCTCAAAGAACAGGTCCATTTAACAGACTATTGGTCAACTTAGACTTTTTCCAAAAAACTCATTCTTCCATTTACTTTCAAAACCGATTGCAAGTTGTAGATAAACCCTTTTTCTTGAGGTGTGCAATTTCAAAAAATGGCATTAGTTTTCAGTTTTTTTTTTGAAAAATTGGCAGTAAGAACCCCTATCACAAGGCTGTCTGAATATGGGTACACACTATGTTTACCTTCAAAATAATATCAAAGGATGAGTCTGGGAATGAGTCTGGGTATCGACTTAGAAAATATTGAAAATTGTAATGTCTGAAAAACCAACTCAATCACACATATCATTAAACTTCAATATCTTATCCTTCTTATGAGATTACAAAAATATGAATTTGTATCACAATTGATGAAGAATATTGGCATCAAAGACAGTGCATATCACTTTGTCAGAATTGAAAAAAAAAATCAATGGCAAATATTAAATGAATTATTTATACAAAAAGTGTGAAACATATCCTCCAAAACATTGCTTACTTTCTTTGTATAGTCATTGAATGGTATTTCTGGATAAGTGAATTGGTTTTTATCTGGGTAATCAAGGGATTATAGTCACTCAAAGGTACTGAGCATCCAGTTTTGACACTTCAATTAAGTTGGTGAAGTTACAAATATTTCAGTCAAATTCATGCTGAGCACAACATTTTGGTTTCAATTTTATGATCTCTATACATGACCCTGGTGATGAAGAGTCAGAATCAGTCAAAAAACCTAAACCGGAAAACTGTGCTCAATGTGAAAACTAAAAGTGAAGCAACTTTTTTTCTGATATTTCTTACATCAAATGGCAGCCATCTTGTTTTTCCCCCTTCAAATTAAACTGGCGGGAAATTCAAAAATTTGAAAAAAATTTTAATCCTTAAATATATTTCAAAAATATGATTTTCTTTTTAATTCTTCATGGATCTTAAGTTATTTCTTCTTTGTATGTCATACATATTGCCATTGCTGTTTTTTCTATGATAATGAGCCTTTTTCATTTGTTAAGATACTTATTCCGACTCTCAGCAGGGGGTTAATTATGCATCAAAACTCATGAAAAAGTAAATATACTTATCAAATATAACTAGGACAGTAATAAAAACCATATTTCACATACATTTGACTGAGGGACCAAAAGGGCATATATCCAGACACATCCTTTATCATTACATAGAATTTATTATATGGAACATATGGCATACAAGCATTCGGAGTACAACATTAAAAAAATCTAGCTATGTATGAAGTTTACCAATGCAAATCTGGAAAACATTGTCATTTTTTGTTCACTTTGTTATCAAGTTTTAGCATGGTGCTCATTTCCTTTCGTTGAAAATTTAACCATCAGCCCATTCTCCCACAAAAAAGATATTGAAACTGTATAATGCAGAGACTGTAAAGTAGCTGCTCTGCAAATATCATTGTTGTGGGAGTGTGGGCTCACCACTAAAACTTAACTTTTGTGATGAAAATAAGGCTGATTGGTTTATGTTTTCAATATGGCTGTTAGCCTGGGCATACATGTACACTACATAATTGCATGCACAGATTAGGCCATTCAAAATTAATTATATGTTGGCATTCTGATGAAGGGCCTTATATTAAAAACTACAAAACCTTTATTTATTTAAAGGGTTTTATATATTATTTAATAGTGAAAATGCAATAACACATAGTGGAAAAGCAAGTAACACCTCTTGATTCAGATGACCTTGTTAATGAAGACAATATAAAGCGTATATACAGGGTGTCCCGAAAGTATGGGGCCCCCCCTAGGCAGACATATTCCAGTGTCCTCATAGTATGTGTCATATATCATTTTAAAGCTTATCCAAAGTTACATTGATTCGCCAAGTATCATGGTTTAACTCCCAAATGGGGAAAAGTTACAGTCATTTTAAAAGTTAGTGTTTTATCAAAATAAAGTTCAATTTTACACCACATTACGAGTCAATGAGTCCCCCCTTGGACATGTTAACAGCCGCAATTATTTTCAAATATGACCTTAAAAGCCCTTCAAATAGGGGTGTGGAATTTTATAACCCTCTTTAAACCTGCTAAGGCACTTTAGAAGAGTTTCCTTTGAGTTTCTACCCTCACCGTTCTCTTTTTCTAACTCATTATTTATCTGACCCGAAAAGAATTGACCAAACACTAAATTTTGAAATGCCTGTAATTTTTTCACATTTGAGAGTTGAACCATGATACTTGGTGAATCAATGTAACTTTGGATAAGCTTTAAGATGATATATGACACATACTATGACGACACTGGTATATGTCTGCCTAGGGGGGGCCATACCTTCGGGACACCCTGTACATGTAGTTTTTAATCAATCTTGGAACTCATTTCAATACAATATAATTCATGATCACAATTCCCTCTGTCATTTATATGCATTACAAGTACAGAGTACATGGGAACATTTTGTTTTTTCTGAAAACATAGAATTTAGTGACATTAATTTTTTTTTTTTTTTGAATGGCCTAAGTGTTTTTCTAAATAGGGAATAAGTAGAAATTATTTTATTAATTTATTTTTGATGCTGCCTTATATTATGATATATATTGAAATTCAAATATGGGAACTGCAAATTGGCAAATAACTTTAAAACTAAGACTCCATACAGACATTTAATTTCAAATTCCAATGTAGATGTCCAATAGATGTCCAATAGATGTCAAAAGGCAACAAGAACATTCATTTTTGAAACAGGAAAATCTAGTCCCCCCAAAAATGCCCATATGGGGATTTATTCTCAAAATTTTCATATAATTGCCCGTGAGAATTTATTAAAAATATTTTTATTTCCATTCACATGTCTTATTATCAGTCAAAATCAAAATTAAGCCAATTGCTTTCATTTCTTGTATTAGAAAACGGCAAATTTTGACAAAAATAGCATCTTTCAAAGTTGACCTATAAACCACCCTAATGTCAAGGTCAAATGCCTAAATTCTCAGAAATCATATTTTAAGTAATAAGTCATACTTCCTCTTTAATTCCATGTCAATATATAGCCCTACTTGTTTTATAGGGGGGGGGCTAAAAGAGGGGTTTACCGCCACCTGTCCTTTATTTATTTGACTCAATGGGTATTGTTACATGAGGTTACAAAGCATGATGTTACAAAAGGTTTGTAATTCTTTATTAGAAATTAGAATTCCATTAGCTTAATAAGTCATTGTATATCGCACAATCTTTGAACATCCCTTCAAGAGATATTATGAGAACTTTATAATCCGCCCTCGTACATTTGTGTTTTCATCAAGATAACACCGGGATTATTTTAAAGAAGTCTAGCTATAAGCCTCTGGGACCCCCCCCCCCCCCTCCCCCCCCCCCCCCCCCATTACTTAACTACACACCCTCTCACACCGGGGGAGGTGTATCGTGGGGTTGGGCTCCCAAGGGCTAGTACCTAGACTATCTTATATCATTTATTGCATATCAATCCGTACATCAAAAATATTATGTTACACAATATATATTTGTTTTACAGTGTTTACTTCTTGGATAATAAATAAGCATTGCAAATGTTGACCACGATCTTTTATTCTTCGTAATCATCAGATCATCAATCAATCAATGTACACAATGGTGTTTCGCGTGATTCGAGTCCTGATATAGGTGGCGCGCAAGTGCGATAAGTCAACATATAGGTCACATGTAGTTGATCTGTAATTGAGAAACGTTATTGTACTAGCAACTTTACTATTATGCTAATCTGAATAAATATATTTAATCTCTTGATTTGTGCATACACATTAGATAAGCCCCTCATCATACTATGTATAAAACCTGTCTAATTCGACTGTCCCTAAGACCAGCCTAAGCTTGTATTCGCGAATGCAACTTTCGGCTGCCGTCTATTGGATTAACCTATCCCGTCATTTTGACCCGTAAGTTGACGATCAGTTATTTTTATGCCACTGTAATGCCCGAGTCACATTTGCCCCGATTCATCGGTCGGCACCTGGCCGATTGAGTATTCTGACCCAGGCATAAGCGATCAATTTGGCTGCTAAATAGGCAGATTAACCAGTTATTTAGGTCAGCGATTGGGCTTAAATCGGTAGCTTTCTGATATCGGGAAGCACGGCAGGTGCTTTTCATATCTCAATGAGTTTTCCATCAAATTGCAATTAACCCGGTAGTCATAACCGGCCGAAAGTTGCATTCGCGAATGCAAGCTAATGTCCGGGTAAACTAGAATTAACATTTCAATTTCATCGAGAAAAAGTGTTTAAGTCCTCAGATATGCACGTTGTATTGTATCTTTTTTGTATTAAATTTTATTCATGCTGAATCTTCATACCTTACTACGGTAATAATTTCGTGAAGAGTACACTCTCTCAAATATATGGAACCCGGCTTCCTTATTTAAACCTGTTTCTCTTCTGCGATTTTCTTTTAGGAAACATAGTAGTATAAGGAAAATATCTTATTCAAGCATGAACATGAAGCCTTATCAGTTATCCAATATGTGTGACGACACTTTTTGAAGGGAGTTCCAGCATTTAGCAAGGAGGATTGGCTCCCAGGATCGAAACTCGATATTTTCCAACAATGAAAACGTCGAAATGTCGTTATTTTCTGAAATTAAAACTGACTATAAATTCAAAATAAACAGTTCAAAAGATTCGAACCAATATCTCGATCGTTTCTTGTGAGTTTTGGAATTTTTCGTTTGGAAATAAGACCAAAATTCACGATTTAAATGTTGAAGTGAACAAAATGGCGGCTGTTTGAATTCGAATTTTGTATTACGACATACCCATATATGGGACAGAATATCGGTGGTGCACTCTGGGAGCCAATCCTCCTTGAGCATTTAGCACGTCTAAACATTTGTCACGGTGTATAACCCAAACGCTCCTACATACACGACGGAGCGTTTCATTACTGAAATTAAACAAAGAAACGCTCCGGAGTAGGAAAACTGTCTGGCGGGAATTATGAGCCGTCTGACAATTTCCCCAATAATGGGAATAAGAGGTATGAGTTACATATTTCGAGTATACCATTCGATGGGTGTGATATTCATGTTGTACGTGGCTGGCTGTTGACGTTTGAAGCAATTGGGAAGAGCTGTACGAAGCAGTATAGTTATCAAAATTCAAAAACGTATTTGTCATTCTACCGGTCAAAACCCCTTTTGTCGATACATGTGATTAGTTGAGCCAAGATTAGAGCACCAACGTATATTTTAGTCAAATTCCAATGCTTCAACGCACCATACATTATCGTAATAGTGATTTGATGACCGAAAATCCAGTCTTAAAAATGATGACATTCTCATATTCAAGAAACGCTCCGATCTGGTTAACACAGTGAATTGGAAACGCTCCGGTAGTCTAGATCAGTTAAGGAAATATATAGCTTGCCTTTCCTTTTCAGGAAGAGAAAGAAAAGATCTATTATACCCCTTGGCATCAATAGAAGAAAGATTAATTCACATGTAACTTTTCGTTTTTTTCTATAGTTTTATGATTTAGCACATATGTAGGCATGACATCATCTAATGTATAGGCTTTAATCAGCTAGTTGCACGTTTAGCACCACCAGGTTCAGATGTTTCAATTTGCCTAACAAGTACAACACGTTTTTGAGAGATAGATTCGATTCGGAACTCTTCTCTAATAATCTGAAAATGATATCAAAACAAAATGGTAAGAGCGTTTCTAAAATTGTGGTCTAAATCGACGGAGCGTTTCGACGAAAACAAGCGATTTCTCGAGAACAAGTAATGGATTTGGACTGGGATTTTAGGAAATGAGAATATACGAGTTTGTGATCTACTACTTAAACAGAAAGATTAACGTTTTCATAGAAATACTAGTTTAATTCGTAATTTGTGGTCAAATCGTTATCTTCAGATTCGTTCGATCTACACTACGGAGCTTTGATCAAGCAAATAACAGTTTACCACCAGAAGTTGAATAAATAAGATCTTTGCTCACGGTATTGTTCATCGAATGGAACATAATATTTCACCATGACATATGATATGTAAGAGAAACGAGAGAAACAATACTTACGGTCATAGTAGAATCTTCATTAGCCGCCATTTTATTTCGCTCCGGAGCGTTTCCGCGTAAATGTAACGCTCCGTCGTGCATGTAGGAGCGTTTGGGTTATACACCGTGTTTGTGGTGCATTTATGAAAACCCCGATTGCGTATCTAAACTTCTGCGAATTTTTTAAGGCTTTGCGGTTATTGACCAAAATGATCTCGTTGTTCTTTTCTGTTATACATTTTCATCTAATTTGTACTGTTATAATATCTTAATTTCCTGGTGATGTAAGAAAGTAAGTTTATTTTCGAAAAATATAATCATCCTATTCTGCAGAAGTAGCCTATTATTATAGATACACTAAGAATTATCCATACGTATCATACAACGACGGGTATAGGGAGCTTACAATGACCGTAAAATATATGATGATGAATACGATAATGAGTACGGTTATCACGATCCCAACGATACTAAGTATCATTGAAATCTTCCCTTTGGATCTTGCACCTTCTAGGTCTCCATTATCTGCACTCGATGATGACATCACAGAGAATATTATTGCAATGATTCCTGGAAAACAGTAATGTCATCATCTAAATTGAATTGGATACTGTACAAAGATCATGTTTTCTAAATCGAATTGGATACTGTACAAAGATCATGTTTTCTAAATCGAATTGGATACTGTACAAAGATCATGTTTTCTAAATTGAATTGGATACTGTACAAAGATCATGTTTTCTAAATTGAATTGGATACTGTACAAAGATCATGTTTTCTAAATTGAATTAGATACTGTACAAAGATCATGTTTTCTAAATCGAATTGGATACTGTACAAAGATCATGTTTTCTAAATTGAATTGGATACTGTACAAAGATCATGTTTTCTAAATCGAATTGGATACTGTACAAAGATCATGTTTTCTAAATCGAATTGGATACTGTACAAAGATCATGTTTTCTAAATTGAATTGGATACTGTACAAAGATCATGTTTTCTAAATTGAATTGGATACTGTACAAAGATCATGTTTTCTAAATTGAATTAGATACTGTACAAAGATCATGTTTTCTAAATCGAATTGGATACTGTACAAAGATCATGTTTTCTAAATCGAATTGGATACTGTACAAAGATCATGTTTTCTAAATCGAAGTTGATACTGTACAAAGATCATGTTTTCTAAATCGAATTGGATACTGTACAAAGATCATGTTTTCTAAATTGAATTGGATACTGTACAAAGATCATGTTTTCTAAATTGAATTGGATACTGTACAAAGATCATGTTTTCTAAATCGAATTGGATACTGTACAAAGATCATGTTTTCTAAATCGAATTGGATACTGTTAGCTAGATACTGTACAAAGATCATGTTTTCTAAATCGAATTGGATACTGTACAAAGATCATGTTTTCTTAATTGAATTGGATACTGTACAAAGATCATGTTTTCTAAATCGAATTGGATACTGTACAAAGATCATGTTTTCTAAATTGAATTGGATACTGTACAAAGATCATGTTTTCTAAATTGAATTGGATACTGTACAAAGATCATGTTTTCTAAATCGAATTGGATACTGTACAAAGATCATGTTTTCTAAATCGAATTGGATACTGTACAAAGATCATGTTTTCTAAATCGAATTGGATACTGTACAAAGATCATGTTTTCTAAATCGAATTGGATACTGTACAAAGATCATGTTTTCTAAATCGAATTGGATACTGTACAAAGATCATGTTTTCTAAATTGAATTGCATACTGTACAAAGATCATGTTTTCTTAATTGAATTGGATACTGTACAAAGATCATGTTTTCTAAATCGAATTGGATACTGTACAAAGATCATGTTTTCTAAATCGAATTGGATACTGTACAAAGATCATGTTTTCTAAATCGAATTGGATACTGTACAAAGATCATGTTTTCTAAATCGAATTGGATACTGTACAAAGATCATGTTTCTAAATCGAATTGGATACTGTACAAAGATCATGTTTTCTAAATTGAATTGGATCCTGTACAAAGATCATGTTTTCTAAATCGAATTGGATACTGTACAAAGATCATGTTTTCTAAATCGAATTGGGTACTGTACAAAGATCATGTTTTCTAAATCGAATTGGATACTGTACAAAGATCATGTTTTCTAAATCGAATTGGATACTGTACAAAGATCATGTTTTCTAAATCGAATCGGATACTGTACAAAGATCATGTTTTCTAAATCGAATCGGATACTGTACAAAGATCATGTTTTCTAAATCGAATTGGATACTGTACAAAGATCATGTTATCTAAATTAAATTGGATACTGTACAAAGATCATATTTAGAAATTCTTTTCATAAATTCTTTGTTCAGGTTGTTAAAACCGGACTCACATTTTGTCCTTCTTAATCATCGTGCGCATTTAGGCCTACATATTTTCGAATGTTTATTTTGAATAAATTAGCAATTAAATATAACCTTTAACTGTTTCAGTAGTTCTAAGCTTACTACGTGACACCTGTTTAATGATTATACTTTAAATCTCTCACCAAATACAAGATTGCAGCAAATGGTGGTGAAAATAGCAAGGATCAAGTAACTGCTTGGCCGAATCACTGGAGACTGCACTACTATGGTGTTGGTCATAGGTTGTGGTTGGCTACTAAGGACCACGTGGTGTGTATCTGCTGGAGGTGGATACTGCCCATAATTCCCTTGGGGCTGGGGTCCGTAATTGGCGCTTGGGTAGCCACCTCCATATGGTCCAGTGGGAGTATTATATTCTGGCGGGGGCATTTGTTTTGACATATTCTGAAAAGAAGGACACAAAAAACCTATATTATTAATATTGTTGCAAACTTTGAAGTTTGAACATGGACGTCATGATCAATCGTCTCCTCGTAAAATATGTGCAACAAATATATATTTAAACAAAAAATTTCACGACCAGCTCTTGTTTTTTAACTTTAAGGTGTGTAACCTTCAAAAGACACAGGCATGTTCGATGCCATTTTGGTTTCTAGGGTGTAAATGTTCGTTTTTATGTACGCACACATGTCAATGTTTGTTCTAGAAGTTTATTTCGATGTCTAAGGATCAATTTTCAAAACATGTGCGTGAACGTGAAATGACGTCACCTATGCTTCATTGTTTTTCCTAGCCCCTCATTTCTTCTTAGTTATGACCCTTTTTTCATTCTCTTGTGTTACTTTCCAGCACATTCCGTTCCTCGCTCGTTCTCCCGATCTCCTTTCATTAATGTATTTAAAAATAGAATAACAAGCAGCCTTGAAACTGCGACGCGGATAAAAAACTAATCTTAACTTTAAAATTGCCTATTTCATTAAAAGGTATAGCTAACTTTCCCCTATTTCAGTATTTGGCATACAGACTTAATTGATCATTTCTTATCTTTTCTTTTTGAGTTTGATAATAATACCAATTAAAATAGGTACAGTGAAATAAATAATTATCTGTTCGACCACAGTGTCAATAGGACAGAAGATATTTCGCTGGCCGAGAAATCACATTTACATTTATTTCAAGAATTAATCCTCCACTTTTTAAGTTATAAGAAAATGTATATGTTTTAGTGTACTGCAATTTATATCTTACCTACTTATCTTCAAACTGGTAGTCCTAATTCAGGAAAAATGCCTTTTCTAATGATGTGCGCACAATCTTTGCAGGTTCCAAAAAAACGCCCAGAAATCACTTTGTATTAAAACAGCATTCAGACCTGTTTTCGTGTTTTGAACGTTTTTTATTGGTTCTGTGTAAACATTTAAGAGCACTTCGCTCAAAAGGTTGGGAATTTGTATAGATCGGATTTGTTGAATGTTTCGACTGATTCACCTTATATGTAGACCTCAAGGTCTATATTAGTAAACGCAATTAGAATATTGTCCAATTACAAATGGAATTTCCCATTGTATTTTAACTGAATGCATTACTGAATCCAAGTGAATGCATTTTTAATTGATTTAACCTTGTTGAATATTTCTCAATATAATTGAAAATATAGTTATGAAGCCTATCGCAGCGCCTTGATTATAATACACTCCCCTCCATAAGTTTGGCATCAGGAAGTTTGTTAATGTTAGGCTATTTTTAAAAAAGCATAGAATCTGTCGTACATTTTCGAGCTATTGTAATATTGTTATTAAAGACAAAGGATCTAGTGCACTCTCAATTATGATTTCCCCATGAACAAAATGAATCATATTAGGTGTAACATAAAGAATACAATGTCACATAATACTTTGGAAAATATTTAAGCGTTTGGACCTACATGGGCTGGGGTTGAGGTCATTAAGTTCAGCAAGGGTGTATTGACTTGACATTGGATGTGTTCCATTGACGACTTTTAAAACATGTGGATATCATCAGATTCCAATGGAGGCCATTGGTTTCTATTACCTAAATACCTAAAATACACTATGACCTGAATCGATTGCAAATTAAATAATTTCACAATATGACACAAATGGTATACCACATCAGATGTGCAAATGTGAAGTTTGCAATCGATTCAGGTCATTCATTCATTGTTTAAACATCTAGTGCTTTGCTACATCTATAGGACTGTTCATGGATTGATGTGGGATGGAGCTTCGGGTAGTGTTGGCTGTCTCTGTCGTCAGGCTTGCGACTGACCTCTGGCTGGTTTAAGATCTTTTATGGTACCAACACTTCCATTCCAGAGACTAAAGCCATAAGACACTGATTATCTCTTGAAGAATAGATGGAAAGCTTCTTCATTGGTTATAATGGCCATGCTATTGGTGGGCCCATTTGTCGCCTCTTCGCATCCAGAGCCATTTGGAGCATGATTCTGCAGCTGCTCCTATTTCACGCATTGCTTGTCTTAGTTGTCTAGGATGTACACCAATGTCTTTAAACATTGATCGCAGAGACACAGCTGGGAATACTTTAAATTAAAAGATTATACATTTTTCATCATTTATTCTTTACAAAATGACTATAGAAAAATGCGCCAAAAGCAACTTTTACACTTATGAAATGCCATGCAACTTCGTAAAGCTAAAGATTATACTGTTATGTTAAATAATTAAATAATAACATATTTGGATAAGATGTAGGGATGTGTAGGATGCAAATGGCTCTTGACGGACACAAAAATACTTCCTGGTTAGGAATCTATGCCTCTACACTTCAAGATTGAATTATGACCCTAATAAGTGGCCCATACATCAATACAGTGATCAATATAGGTCAATAAGATACAGTACTACAATACTACTGTAGTGTGCATATAAATGTAATAATAAAAGCAGTATACTCATTTTGAAAAATCGGATGAACAATTTTTTTCATGGGAGATCATAATGGAGAGCACACTACTTCCTTTAAGAATTTAACAAAAAATAAGCTTTAATAGTACGCTATCACGAAATAACTTCCAGTTGTCAAACTTATGACAAGGAGTATATGTGATGTGTCTTGTTTTTGACTTCAAGGCAATATGTTGTATATTATTCAAATTAATTTATAATTTTCCGTGGGCGCGTTATTAAATAAACGAAGATTGTTTTTGAGAGAAATAGTGCAAATAACTCTTCTGAGTAATAAATATCGTGTCCACTGTCCATATAAAGTATGTGATCCCGAGGCTTTGTGTCGAGAGAACGTTTCAGTGGACAGTGTATTCTCTCGCACTTTTTAACAAGGTTTATTGTTCTGGAAAAAATATGCGGATAATAAAAATAGTATGTATCATCCTTATATTTAATTATTATTTTTTTCATATAAAATATATCCATTTCAAATGTTTTAATGATATGTACATTATTTATACCAGCAATAGTCACATTGCATATTTTTAGTCCTGAGTAAATAAGCTTTAAATGATAATAATGCATCTATACCGTAACTTCTATAAGGTAACTTCTATAAAGTGGAGTCTCTTTCTTGTTTCTCTTGGACTCGAATTGTTGCATAGGATGAAGTATTCATTTTGTCATTTTGCATGCTCACGTCCACATAATCATGCAATATTTCACCCCCCCCCCCCCTCATCCTTTGCAAAAGGTAAACACAGTCTAAATATCCTTACATCTTATCCTAAACAGGCATCAATAATGTAATAGTTGTTGGGCATCATGTTTTCCAAATACTGTAAATGTTTTATAATAATACAAAATTTGTATTTGAGCTGTTGATCTCTTACATCAGGCCAACCTTTAGTCAATTACTCAGATGCGAGTAGGTAGGTACCAGTTTCGCCACCAGGTGGCTGATTCGGGGGAAATAACATGGCAGGGTATTACAAAATTCCCTTAAACTTGAATATTCATCAGTTTTACTGGTTCACTTTTCATATTATCCTTATGTACCTGATAGTTATACAAATCAAAATATATCCAGCAAAAGAAAATATTATCTGCCCAACACAAGAAAAGATATTTCCATTTTTGTGATTTTACAACATGGGGCCTATGAAGAATCTCCCCGAAGTCACATTTTCAAAGAAAATTAAATTCTTTCAAATTTTTTTAAAAACCACATTTCTAGATGTAATTTTACATGTAGATTCCAAATACGTGAATTTTAATGACGTAAATTAAGATTATTTCTACTCGCATCTGGGATATTAGTGCATATATGTATGTAGTCTATTTATCGAATTGAGTCTACGCATATCTTGTCTTTTCCATTGTTATATGTTTCCTTTTTACGTTCTCCGTATATTTGACTATATTGCTACTATTAGTATCATCATCGTAACCTCTATTTTCTAGCCAAAGATGCTTAATGCAGAACTGACGATAACTGTGAAATAGATGATAACAAATACAATGGCGATAATGGTCAACACTATCCCTGCAATACTAAGTCCCATAGATATCCTTCCTTTCGTTCTTGCACTCTCCATGTCCCCAGCATCTGCGTCTGATGACGACATCACCGAGAATATTATTGCGATGATGCCTGAAAATATAATAACATCCGGGTTACATCTTGGTCCATGACATGGGTCCCCATCCAGATCTTGCCCCTTCCTCATTAGGAGGAAATCAGAGATTTCACAGAGGTCGGCCCTGTCCTTATCCATCAAGGTATTTCACTCTACTATACCTAACCCCTAGAAATGCATGAGCCATTCTGTTTGTCTAATTGTATTGTTTAGTATATTTTTGAAAGTACTTTATTAACATTTAACAGTCATCCAATATACCATTCATAAGCAGCAGACACATAAAAACAAATAACATAAGCATTACTGATAGGCCAAATGGGTTGCTCATGAACACCAAATGCAAGGTATAGTAGAGTGTATTTCGAATTCATATGGCCAGAGCAATGCATTCCCAGGAATACATTGGTACAATAGAATGAGTTTCCATGCCAGACGAGATAATGTAACCAACATTTTGCTTCTGTTTTTAAAAACACAATATAATTTTTGAGAAATTGGTATATCATATACATCAGTGCAAATAATATATTGGTTTTATGTAGTTTTGTGCATTTTATATATTTTAAATATGCTATACAATATTCAAATGAATACGAGCACAATTTATTTTAGTTTATTCACTTTGTATATTTTAAAAATGATGTTAGGTACGTGACTACAAAAACTCAAATGAAAATTAGCACAATTGTGAAAGTCTTACCAAAGAGAAGGTTGCAACAAAGCGTCGTGAAGATAGCGAGGGCCAAGTTGTCACTCGGCCGGATGCCTGGTGAAACCACCACAGTTTGAGTGGTTGGTTGTGGTTGGGTATGAATGATCACGTTTTGTGGTGGTTGATTTTGTCCGCCATATTGTCCCCCATATTGTCCCCCATAATTTCCCGGGGGAGGGGGTCCGTAATAAGCCCCTGGGTGTGCACCACCGTATTGACCAGGTGGTGGAGCTCCATAAGGATTGGGCTGCATACCATATCCCCCTTGAGGAGGCATGCTTGGTTGAGGTGGGATGTTTGGATCGTTATACGCTGGTGTGTTCCCAAAGTTCCCTTTGTTATCCGGCGGTGGATATGCTGGGTCAGACATTGCAACAATGGACAGTAATCTGAAGAAAAAAGAAAATGCTTATCATCCTAGATGTACCATAGTGCTAGCTAGAGAGTCTACAAATGCATGTGAATATACAGGGTGGTAAAAAAATGGAAACCCTGCATTTTCCTCATATCTTTGTCAATTTAAGAAATTACTCCCTGATATTTCACACATTTGTAATGTATTCAATTTGCTACCAGTCTACTATATTTCATAAGCATCAGACTGATAGTCACAATTTTACGGCACTTTGAACAACATACTTCAGGTTTGGCCATCATCGCGCTGGAGGCAAACCTGCACAGCTGTCAATGATCCAAATGCATTCCTCATCAGGTATGGCCTGAATGATACAGAAGATCTTGCTTTTGAGGTCTGCAATCTTCCTGGGGTCATTATTATACACTCTATCTCTGCCATATCCTCATAGGTAGGGACATTTTGGAGCACATGTGCAGGTTGCTCTTCAGCGCAATAGTGGCCACCGGGAATATTCTTTAAAGTGCTGTAACACGGTGACTATCAATCAGATGGTCATGAAATATGGTAGGCTGGTAGGAAATTGAGTGATGTACAAATGTGCAAAGTTATTTCTTAAAATAATAAAGATATTAGGAAAATGGTGTACGGGTTTCCAGTTTTTTTGACCACCCTGTATATTATTTGAGAAATGTACTATGTGCTCCCTATTCGGGAATTCTGTTACATATACACATTTATAGAAATTAAGTTGTATGTTTAGTTAGAAAGACACATTTTACAAAACTAAAACAGCCCAGCTTAATCTAATCAAGGTGTTTATAGAGACATCATATGGGTATTATAAATAAAATGTTCAACACAATCTAATATCAAATCAAACGAATAAGAAACAAATTCAATGATTATCGTTATTAATTGAAATATCGTTTCTCATTCTGTTAACTGAAATGTCAGACATGAGACATCACACAGTGGTTTTTACTGTTATCGCAAAATGTTTTATTTTCCGTCTTTGTTCAATGTACTTCCTTGGTACTTACAACTAGAAAAGAGTACACTTTTATATGACATGTATATCCAAAATTATGGCATATTCTATACTTTCGAACTGCTTTTTTTAATGATACTTTTTTCAGTCTTAGACGATTGGACTCTCTAAAGTCTATACATGTCTATACTTTCTATACTGTCTATACTTTTGATTTTGGTGAATTCCCTATGTCTATACTTTCGATACTTTCGATACTTTCTATACTTTACATTTTGGTGAAATCCCTATGTCTATACTTTCGATACTTTCTATATATACATTGTAAAACAATATGTGACGTCATAAGTTTCTTGGTCACTTTCGAGTTACGGTGTATAACCCAAACGCTCCTACATGCACGACGGAGCGTTTCATTTACGCGGAAACGCTCCGAAGCGAAATAAAATGGCGGCTAATGAAGATTCCACTATGACCGTAAGTATTGTTTCTCTCGTTTCTCTTACATATCATATGTTATGGTGAAATATTATGTACCATTCGATGAACAATACCGTGAGCAAAGATCTTATTTATTCAACTTCTGGTGGTAAACTGTTATTTGCTTGATCAAAGCTCCGTAGTGTAGATCGAACGAATCTGAAGATGACGATTTGACCACAAATTACGAATTAAACTAGTATTCCTATGAAAATGTTAATATTTCTGTTAAAGTAGTAGATCACAAACTCGTATATTCTCATTTCTTAAAATCCCAGTCCAAACCCATTACTTGTTCTCAAGAAATCGCTTGTTTTCCTCGAAACGCTCCGTCGATTTAGAACACAATTTTAGAAACGCTCTTACCATTTTGTTTTGATATCGTTTTCAGATTATTAGAGAAGAGTTCCGAATCGAATCTAGCTCTCAAAAACGTGTTGTACTTGTTAGGCAAATTGAAACATCTGAACCTGGTGGTGCTAAACGTGCAACTAGCTGATTTAAGCCTACATTAGATGATGTCATGCCTACATGTGTGCTAGATCATAAAACTATAGAAAAAAACGAAAATTAATATGTGAATTAATCTTTCTTCTTTGGATGCCAAGGGGTATAATAGATCTTAATTTCTTTCTCTTTCTGAAAAGGAAAAGCAAGCTATATATTTCCTAAACAGATCTAGACTACCGGAGCGTTTCCAGATCACTGTGTTAACCAGATCGGAGCGTTTCTTGAATATGAGAATGTCATCATTTTTAAGACTGGATTTTGGTCATCAAATCACTATTACGATAATGTATGGTGCGTTGAAGCATTGGAATTTGACTAAAATATACGTTGGTGCTCTAATCTTGGCTCAACTAATCACATGTATCGACAAAATGGGTTTTGACCGGTAGAATGACAAATACGTTTTTGGATTTCGTTAACTATACTGCTTCGTACAGCTCTTCCTAATTGCTTCAAACGTCAACAGCCAGCCAAGTACAACATGAATATCACACCCATCGAATGGTATACTCGAAATATGTAACTCATACCTCTTGTTCCCATTATTGGGGAAATCGTCAGACGGCTCATCATTCCCGCCAGCCAGTTTTCCTACTCCGGAGCGTTTCTTTGTTTAATTTCAGTAATGAAACGCTCTGTCGTGCATGTAGGAGCGTTTGGGTTATACACCGTGTCAATGTATTGTAAAACAATATGTGATAGAAAGTATAGAAACTATAGACATCTAATTTGTCAAAGACAGTTTTGTGAAAAGCAGATAGAAAGTATAGAAACTGTAGACATCTGAAGACAGTTATGGGGAAAAGCAGATCGAAAGTATAGAAACTATAGACATCTGATTTGTCGAAGACAGTTATGGGGAAAAGAGAGATAGAAAGTATAGAAACTATAGACATCTGATTTGTCGAAGACAATTATTGGGAAAAGCAGATCGAAAGTATAGAAAGTATAGAAACTATAGACATCTGATTTGTCGAAGACAGTTATGGGAAAAGCAGATCGAAAGTATAGAAAGTATAGACATTTGATATGTCGAAGACAGTTCTGGGAAATAGCAGATAGAAAGTATAGAAAGTATAGAAACTATAGACATCTGATTTGTAGAAGACAGTTATAGGAAAAAACAGATCGAAAGTATAGAAAGTATAGAAACTATAGACATCTGATTTGTAGAAGACAGTTATGGGGAAAAGCAGATCGAAAGTATAGAAACTATAGACATCTGCTTTGTCAAAGGCGGTTAGTATGAAAGGGCATTTCGAAAGTATAGAAACTATAGACATCTGATTTGTCAAAGGCAGTTGGTATGAAAAAGCAGTTCTAAAGTATAGAAAGTATAGAAACGTCGAAGGCAGATAGTATGAAAAAGGAGATCGAAAGTATAGAAAGTATAGACAATGTATAGAAAGTATAGACATTGCCATAATTCTGGATATACCTCTTATATGAACTATACATTATTACGTACATACCTTTATTTTAGATCCAAAACATCCACTGCGTTTCCCAAGTTTATATGTGGTCTTCCTTTCTTTACAATAATCCAATCAATGCTGGTTCTCCAGGCTGATATTAATCCTAATTCACAACAAGTCCTTGAAGGTTGTGAATAGTCTAAGCAAAATCAATACAATTGTAAATAGTAACCCGGCTAAACAGAGAAATTCGGTCTCGATAAACTTTGAAATTTTGAAACACCAGATTGCAATACTATAGTATATTAATGTTATTAGTCGTCTTCAGCTTAAAGGCAGAATCAGATCTACTTGTATAGGGGGTAACAAAATTGCAAGCAACGTGTACAATTAACCTACCAATCTATTACTTACAAGATCTCTTGCAAGATCTCCCAAAAGATGTTATAAATTGGTAGAGTTATCGAGGGTTCAAAGTGCAAAAAAAGTTAAAAACTGTCTAAATTCTCACAAGTAATACAGATGGTAGGCATAAATGCAGAAAAAATAATACATTCTTGTAAAAATAAATGGCTTTCCTGAAATAAAGTATGCACTTTGTGGATTTTTAGAAAATAGACATGAAATAAATGAGCCAGAAATATTCTAAAATAGAAAAAAACTGTAAAGCCACTCGCTAAATTTGATTCTCTCTTTAGCAAATACTTCATTCTATGGGAGACAATACTTGTTCATCTTTTACTGCAGACTAAAGTTAATAAGGTATTGCTCGAACATAGAGGGGAATATTTGTTTTTCATAGATTAGACAACATACTCATAGGCCTAAACGTTTTTTTTTCTAAAATGAGCTTTTAGTTACAAAAGAAACAAGGCATTAACCGTGACAAAATGTCACCACCTAGTTGCTCATAATATTATTAGTTCAATTCAAAGTCAGATTTGAGTTGGTCAATTTGAAGCAAGTTGAAAAAATACCTTTTTGACCATGGTCATTAAAGGTCAAATCTATCGTCATATTTGAACTTTTGAGAGCTTCTATATGATTTTGGAAAATATTAGTCAATTTGAAGCAAGTTGAAAAATACCTTTTTGACCTTTTTAACCTTTTTTACCTTGAAAAGGGTCACTGAAAGTGAAATCTTAAGCTTAAATATAAAATCAGATTCGAACTTCTGAAAACTTGTAGATGATTTTGAAAAAATGAAGTCAATCTAAACAGCATTTGTTAAGTTATTGGAAGTTGTAAGAATTTGTTACAGACGCCCAGATTTTAAAAAGGCCCATTTTCTTGATAGTTTGGCCATGGTCTCTTGAGAGCCCATGGTTTGGCCTAAAATTTAAAATTAAGGCCTTTGAAGCCCCGTTTGTGCCCAAAAATCCCCACTAATTTGACCCCTAAAAAAATTTGTTGACCAATTTATTTTCTGGGCCCACACACCGGCAACTCTCGCCGTTCCATTGAAAAACTATTTTCAGTGATCGGTTTATTCGGAGAAACATAACTTGTGGTCTCTAAATATAATCACATTTGACATGTATCATAATCACATTTTTATTTATTTCATTCCGTTTACATGATATTAGTTGTGTTCAGCCTATGGCAACGATCAAACGTATTTTCTTCATCCTATCTACGACGCAGACTAAAAGCCAAGCGAGAATCCTGATTGACATGATTGCTTTGATAATTGATAGCCGAAATGCAATATCGATCTCCCCCGGGAATTACCTTTATTTACTGTGACCGCTGGAAAATCATTTCGCTGTGTGTAGTTGGCTGTTCTTTCTTATAAACTTTACCCTCTTTATTCATCAATTTTGATGGATTTTTGCAATAAATCACGATAAAGTGATCAATTATTAAATAAATTAAACGCTGTAGTATAATTCTTAGGTAAATATATTAACCATATATACAATACATTGCCAAAATACACGACACCTTGTTCACATAAATAGTATTCTTGACACAGCAAATGCTCAGTGGAACATCCCCCAGAATCCTTCAGTTGTCGTAGCAACATCTCAAAATGGCCGACAAAATTCTAAAATTTAGACATTTCAGATATTTTCACCGATGATGTTATCGTGTATTCGGTAAAAGAGTGTATAATGATGATTAACAATGTATTTCGCTAACTAGAAATTGATATTAACAATCCAACATAAAACTCTGCGGATAGCTTCACTAAAAACGCAATTTCAGTCAAATAAAAAATCATCATTTTTTAGGAAATCACAAATTTAGCCTAGACTAGGCTAGGACCAGGCTAGATATTATAAAAATAGGTCTGAAATACTTTAGGGCCCTAATTAAACTGTTACCAGTGAAGAAAGGTCAGGATATACAGTTGCACTGATGGCAGCTGAAACTATGTTGCGGTCTGTGAGCAGACCACCAACCCACATCATGGCAGTAATGCCAGATAAGCCAAGGGTGCCACTTGTCTCGCACACAATTACAGATGAAGATATAGGAGCTCTAGCAGTAAGATTTTTATGTTATAGCTTCCTTCCAGGTCAAATGCATGCATAACCTGACAGAATATTATTAGATCTAGGCTACAGCATAGGGGAAGTGGTCCTAATTATCGCACGGTCCTAATTATCGCACGATTGTCCTAAATAGCTAAAATATGCACCCACCATCTTTTAAATCAGTGTTACGAAAAACAGTTCAACACCATTACTCCCAATCTTCATGATTTATTCATATATTTAGAAATATCTCTTCATTTTTTAAGAATTGTTAACTTCCGCCATTGTCATAAATGCTTTTGCGGAAGAAGTGAAATTCGTCTGACAAATTTTGACCCCCTCCAAATAAAGACAGAAAAGTAAGTGTATAATGTATATTTTGTTGATATTTTACACTAAAACTGGTAGATAAATGATTACAGCATATGTATGTATCTGTTATAAACAGAGAAATGTATACATGATCGTGAAATGACATCTGAAACATAACTGTGCGATAATTAGGACGACTGTGCGATAATTAGGACCACCGCACATGCGAGTCTAAGGGGTCTTAAAGTGTTAGCGTTCGGAGATTGAGAAATGTCAAACACTACTTAGATTTTAGAGGAAAAGTTGATCTTTCGTCTCATATTCTCAAAGTAAGTTGAAGTTATCATATTTGAAATCGTCAGTAGTTTCCCTGAGTACCCGTGCGATGATAGGACGACTTCCCCTACATGTAAATACACATGGCACTCATGGAGGATAGGCCAAAGGTAGCCAAACCTCTCTTGCCTATGACATTAAAGATTCAGGGAGTAGATAACTGGGCCAGATTGGTTTCTATTTCTATTTATTTAAGATGCAACAGGCATATTTGCCCACTATGCAAATTTCAATATACATACATTTATATAAAATATTAATAAATTATCTACACATGTATGAGTGTAAAAAGTTATTAAATAGTTAATGTAAAATGCATTAGTTGACTAGAGCTAATGGTAAAAGTTTGGTTAGGATGAGGGAAGTTTATGTTGAAATGTTGGTTGTTGGGTAATATTGTCATCTGAAATTTAAGCTTGGGGGCAATGTAGAATGTCAACTTTTTGGTGATGTCTGCACTTCACAGTTCAAAATCAACTTCCGTAGCAATTTGACACCAGATAAGGAGGGAAATGTTTTAGGGAATTTCAGTCAAAAAAAAAAGAGTGACAACTTACATTTGCTCCGAGTGTAGTAACTTTGGCACTTGGCCTCCAGTCAGAAAATTTTATTCTGAATCCATCCAAGCAAAATATGCTTTCAGAAATTGCAAACAAATGAAATTATGCAATAAATATGAACATTGACTGGTTTGATTTTCAGGGTTCCAGAGTTCTTCCAGTAAACTTGAATAAAAGCATAAAACTTCTAACAGATCCACACTCGGTAAGAACATTTTATTTAATATATTTTGTTTATGCTTCAAAACAAATTTCTTTTTTGTTATGTCATTATATTTAACTTGTTTCTCTTCTATTTAAAACAAAGTAATATCTAGTAATTGCCATTTAATTGATGAAACAATGTAAGATCACCAATATCTTTCTTTTTTAGTCACTTGCACTTCTAGAAACAGGCATATCAATATATTCTTATACGTTTTTATTTTAGGCAACACTGTATGACAGACATCTTAATGTGTTAAAGAAGATCACCAGACACTATCAAAAGGGATTTGTATCCTTTACAACAAACAAAACTAAACAAATCACCTGGTACTGTAACATATATTTAAGTTTTCAGAATAACTGCAGATGTGTATATTGTTTTACATTCATTCATTTGATGTTGTATTTTTGGTTCCTATAATGATACTCTTATGATGACAGAACTGCCTCATAAACATGTCCTCTATGAACAATCAAACAGTGTATACATTCACTTGTATGTGGTTTGGTATTGTCCTTAACTCATCATTTAGCTTATGAAAGACTTGGTACAGGTATGCAAGATCCTCAATGTCTGTGCAGATAGGATAGAAGAGCAGTCATTATACATAGAGCCCATGTGTGATATTCTCAAAATTTGCAGTCTGCCTTATCTGAAAGAACGAACATCTGATGAAACTACATTTGAACAAATCGCCATAGAATCCGTCTCTCAATTAGGTGGGTGATTCTGATTGTTACACTTTTGAAAATATTTTGCAGAAAGTACAAAGTCAGTTTAAACAAGACTTAAAAAAATAAACCCAAATCCATTTTCAAATTTGTCAATCTGTTTTTAACAGCTAGTGTTAGTGAGCTTTCAGGCACAGTTTTTAGTTGTTCTAATGTTTGTAATGTACTTCACATATTATCGAATAAGATGATTCTGATTGACTACATGTATTTATGATCTTACAGGGTATCTAATGAGAGTGCCAAGTCCAGAAGTTAGAAAACAAATATGTAAAACACTCATCAGTTTTTATACAGAAAAACCTCCACAGCAGCATGTACAAAGTAAGTTCAGAAAGGAATATGATCAATCACAGAGATATTCATCAGTTGTGAAATTGATTTTACAGTGTTGTAGAATAGCAAGTGTCTAGAACTGTAAACTTGATAAAGTGCTGGACTATTTTGTCATAAAAGGTCTCACTGTGTAAAGTGATGCTATTATTTATGTTTAGTGTTTACATCATATGTACAAAATGAACCAAATTATGCTTAAAGTTTCAACACTTGTGTGTAAAAACAATTTTGTAGTTCTGTTTTGAAATAATCTTTGACTGATGACATTTTCAGGACACAAGGCATCAACATTAAATTATAATAAAAAGATAGTAGAAAAAAGTGATGTATCAGAAACACTTGTAAAGGTAAGTCAGTATTGATTTTTCTGGATAAGTAAAGAATGTCTCTCATTTGCAATAGCCTACAAGCAATGATTCCTCAGTAAACGCAATTATGAAATCAATAGAATTGAATAAATATACTTTCACATGTAATCTTTTGTTGACTTTGTTGTTTGGGTTCATTTAGACATGAGCAACTCTAATTATGTAGTTGAAGTTGTGCTACAAAGTCAAACTTTGATAATTGATGAAACAATGTAAGATCACCAATATCTTTCTTTCTTTTTTAGTCACTTGCACTTTTAGAAACAGACTTAAAGGTACGGTTAGCTGTACTAAATGTTCTGCAGAAGTTCTCTAAAAAATCAGGTATGTCATTATTCTCATGCTGGTGCACACTTTTGCTCTTAATGATTTTTTTCAGTTCCAATTTATTTGAGTTTCCTGAGTTTAAGTTCATTTACAGATGTATCCCATTGTTAGATTAATAACATTAGCTCTTAGTAATGATTTAAAAAGATTGATTTTTTATATCAACACTACTAATCAGCTATTTTAACAATATGAGTCCACTGAATAGTGCCATTTTTATTATTAATATTTTTCATTTCATGTTTCAGCATTATGCTGTGACCAGATGCTGTCAGCTGATGCTGCCCACAAGATTTGTACTCGCCTCAATGATGTAGACAAAAGTGGTCAGCTTATGTTCCTCTCTGTGGACATACTTTGGAATCTCTTGGAGAATGGCGACCAGGCTGAACTAGCTGCACAACTCAATAATTTCACATGTGTTGGGTAAGTAACTACATTTGAAATCAAAAATGAGATTGTCCTGGTCTGGGTTATATTTTGAGTGATATGAAAGCTGCCTTAAATTTTTTTGAAGCCTCGTTCTCTATGTTTTTTAAAAGTGCTATTTGCCTGGGTCACATTCATCAGATGGTGCCTGGCAGATTGAGTATTTTGTTCAAAACTATTCAGATTTGAGCAAAATACTCCATCGGCCACTGCTGTTCGATGAATCTGAGCAAATGTGACCTAGGCATTACTTTATGATTCTCATAAAATCGACATGTACATGCATACTGTAAAAATGATTCATTATATGAATATGACAAAATATGTTAATAATTGGAAATAAACATATTCGATAATATTTTGTATCTTCAGACAATTAAGGGATGCTTTCATTCAACAATTGACACAGGGATACAGCCATTATGATCGCCAGCTCCGCAATGATCTTCTGGTGATTGCATCTCTGATCGCATCATACTGCCCCGAGGCACCATTCTTAGAAACTGGCTATGTGAAACAGTTAGCCCTGTTTGCAACATTCCAAGAAGGTACTAGGCTTGTTCTATAGCTTCTTGATTAATAACTTTATTATAAAATACTTTCAAGTTGAATTCTTATGGTTTATAGATATATAGAGGCGATTCATATATTCCGATAAATCATTATTTAGAGTTATCAGAACAATTGGGTCACCCCTTGTATGTGATGAACAAAATGTATGAAAAATCTTACAACTTTTGAGTGTTTGTGATTTGATTAAGTCACTAATACCAGTGTATCCCTGTACATGCACCTTTTATTTATTCCAATCGACTATACCTTTCCTTGATGTGATATTACAAACCAATCATAGTAATAGAGAAATTCGTGTTTTCAGTGAAAAGTCATAATGCAATAGTAAGATATTTAAAGCTGGGTACAAACCATGAGGATTTTGAACTAAAGAAGCTTCTCATCAATGCACTGGTGATCCTCAGTAAAGAACCTGCAGTCATTCCAGTAAGTCTAGTTTACCAAACTACCTCAGTTGCACAAAATATACTTTTCCCAACATCAAATATTAGCTCTATAAATTGTTGACTATTTAGAATTTTAAATATGACTATGTACCTGGGCTAAATACTTTATTCTTTACTTGTTAACTTCTTTCCATCTAATATTTGTTTGACAAAAAATGAAAAAAATGTAAAATGTAAAATAAGAATATGTATGTACTATGGCTACTACTGGACCTCAATTTAAATAATTTTCATTGTATGAGAACCATTCTTTCATTTGTAGGTCTTGTCAGAAGGCCATGTTCTTCTTGCGTTATTCTCATATGTCCGAGCCAATGAAAACATCTCTGCCCCTCGGGAATGGACACCCGCTCAGTTTGAGGAGATTCAGCTCCATGCAATGAGTGCTCTGTGTACACTAGCTCCTGTAATGGTGGAGGATTTTGTGACATGTCAAGGTAGCACAAGATTGCTGCTCTTGCTGGAGTGGTGTGTCGGAAGAGGTAAGATGTGCTTCTCATGTCTTTTCAATACTTCAGTTCAGTTCACTGCCACAGTATCTTATACAGTAGCATTTGACAATATGTGATGCAGAATTGAAGGTCGATCTTAAGATGATTTTTGTGCCATTTTGAAAATACCATATACAATCAAAATATAGAATGGGGATTTAATCTAAATTTAAACACTTGTAGAGGATTATGGTGGTCATGGCAACAGTTTCCATGGGGCTGGTGGTCGTGGCAACAAAAGAGCTCAGATGCGGAGGTGTCTCCAACTGCTACGTAGCATGATATCTACTGGACATGAGGGTATCTCAGAGGAACTAGTGGACCAGGGTGCCATCAATCAAATAACAAGTTAGTGAAAACAGATGAATTTGTAATAATAATATGTTGGGTTAAATATACAAGGGGAATACAAAATAAACATTCGCCAAAACCAAATTACATTAGAACAGATTCATTGCCATTGTAAAAATGCGTAGAAATTGCTCTAAAAATATCCCAAGATAAATATTATTGAAAATGTCCAAAACCTTATGATTTTGAATCTTAAAACATGTTTGTAAATAATAATGAAGGAAAGGGCCTTCATTCATAGGTGTTCCATTTCAAAAGTAAATAAAATGCAATGAATTACACTTAATAATCAAAATGATATCCATAACTAGGTTTAACATCTGAATTACTTCATGCTTCTTTGCATTTCATATCTTTAATTGAATTATGTTGCAGCAATCCTGGACAATGTGAGTCACTCAAGTGAGGATGATGATGCTATTGATGTTGAGATGCAGTGTGACATGTTGTTTCTTCTCTCCTCCCTGACAGAATTTGATATGCACAGGAAGGTATGTAAACAGGGACATATCTTCCAGTATCCAAAACAAATTTCATTATCAGAGTTGATTCATATCATGGACTTTCAGAAAGTCTGTAATAGTACATGTTCACATTGGCTTTACTCAAAATGTAATTTTTGTAATCCCTTTCAGGAGCTATTTGGAGTGCAGGGTGTAGATGTATGTATTGAGTACCTCAAGATGAACCCTAAGAAGATCAGCAGTGGACTAGGACATCACAAACTCATGCTAGCTACAGTGGATTGCATATGGTATGTACTATTCATGAATTTGATATTAATATTCTTGAAAACATTTCTATAATGTACCAAGCCTTGCTTGTTGTACATTATTACAATCAACATGATGCATGTAATATTGATTGATTAATTGCACAACGCTTCTTATTGAACCAAATAGATTCATTTTCACAAAATATTGAAAACTTAAAAGTGTACGTACATGTACATGTAGTTTATCATCTAGCTGGATACTCTTTGGGACCTCGATCAGAACTCTTATGTGGACAATAAGATTTTCAGGTCATGTGTGTCAGTAATGAATATACTTGTATTACAGGTGTTCCATTGTGGGCTGCTACCTCACTGAAGATGCATTCTTAGAAAAGGAAGGAGTGTTTCTGCTCATTGACCTCTTGGAGGTAAGTCCCCTGGAATAAAATTCTCATTTTTGTCTTCCACATATTTTCCTCACCAATGAGCAAGTAAAATTATAAAGAAAAGAGAATTGATGCAGTTCACAATAATATATTCTATGTGTATGGGTGCTTATCCCATAGTTGAGGTCAAATCTGCATGATAACATCTATATATATTTATGACATTTTGCAAATAAATCTTTGGAATACAAAAACTGTTGCAATTCACAATAGTATATCGTACATGAATATAAGGGTTATGTACTGGGAGGTTTTGGATATGGGGTTTATCTCATGAGGGATGAACCCTATATCCAAACCGACCGTACATAACTGCTTTATCCTATACCAAGTAGAGTTTTCTAATTTTCTTTCAATTTATTTTTATTTTTTCAATTTCTTCACATTATCTCAATTTTTTTCAAATTTTTTCAAATTTTATTTTTTATTTTTTTTCAATTTTTTATTTTTCAATTTTTTCACAATTTTTCCATTTTTCAATTTTTTCAAATTTTTTTTCGAAGCGGGAAGATATGCCCTGGAGCGGGAGATATGGAGGTTCAGGATATGGAAACCTCAAAATCATGATACAGGATATATCTTACCAACTTATCTCCCTAAAACTCTACTTGGCATAGGATAAGGGTGCATACTCCCTATTTACTGATTAAAATCTGTTATGTTGGTGATATTCCAGTCATGTCCGAAAAATATGCACAACTTGATAATCGGTTGCTTACTGGACCTGGCAGAGAATCCAAAGACAGTTCCACATATCATAAGTTGGCGAGGGAAGGAGGACATCTCAGCCGCCCATCTCTTCTGTGATATTTGGAGACATGAGGAAGAAGACATTGGAGTTGAACGTGAGGAGTCCGGAGCCATTGCAGGTGAGAGTATTACTAGAGCAGATGTACATGTAGGTCACTCAGGCTTATGTACTTAGAATATTGAAATTAATAAAATATTATCAGCAGTGTTCAAACCTTGAGTCTTTGCTTAAATGAGATACAATAAAAATAACTGTGTTTGGCCTGGAGCTGTATGAGTTTATTATGTAACTAAACTTGAGAGTTCAATGTTTCCATAATTTCAATGTTTCTATATATTTAGACACCACCAAGCCATTAGTGGGAGCTCTCCAGAAAGACCAAGGTGTGATACCTTTACCTGCCAACTGCCCCAGTCAGGCCATAGTGGATGTCTCAGAGAACATGAGGGCAAAAATATATGCTATTTTCTGTAAAATTGGTAAGATTTTATATTCTTCATTAATTAAGAGTTTCTTCTGATTCAGCTATAGAACTTATAAAGTAAAGAAACTTGTCAAAATTGTCTATTGCATTCCATGTTTTGTAGTTGATGCATTATTATGGGTCTTCCATTTGAAGTCAATAACATGTTGATATGAAAGCCTCACATAATCAGCTTTCTAATGGTAGAAAATTTGATCATATCTACAATGTGTATCCTAAAAAGTTCTTCCCTACCACTTGTGAGATTTACCTTTCCTGCTTTAGATTGTATTACTGTATACACATCTTAACCTGGCATGGAAGAAAGCCCCACACACAATATCTTTTTTAACTCATATGACCCTCGATGCCTTTCTCCCCAAACCCTGTACATATTTACTATAGATGTATTCTGCCTAGATGTAACATTGTTTCATATGTACAATAAATTATATATTACCCTATGATTGTATTTTAGGTTTTGTTGACTTGCCTGGTCTCACAACAGAAGATCATGTGACACTAACAATTGTTGAAAGATACCTTGATTTCAAGGTAAGATATTTTTATACCAATAATGTGTTTTAATTGAAATGAAGTCTCAGGAGAGAAACACTGTTTTGCAGTGCATTATTTTTCCCAGACATGAATTAGCCAAATTATGAACCTACAAGTTTTACACTGCATTTTAATCCTGTTGGATGAATGAAGTATGGATTCAAATCATATATGAACTACTGGTAATCTGAGGCATCTTTTTCATACCATAGGTTGGTGAAGTTTGGTCTGAAGTCATCCAAGAGCTTGAAGTTGAGAATATCCGCCCAGTTACACCAGATCGTGAGGCTCTGGAGACCATCACACGAGTGGTGGATGAGGATGCCATAGCTGTGTCTCTCACACAGAAGCAGCTGCTGCATGCTAAGGGGCAGCAAGATCTGCTGGATGAACAGGAGTTCTACGCTGAGGTAAGACAGAGGGGGACTAGCATTAGTATTGGCATTTTCATTAAATAAATATTGTATTAAAAACAGCTCTTGACATTTACTCATGCAATTTAACAGTTCACTTTGTGAGCTCAGGGCCATGGGTAGACAATTTCAATATATTCAATATTTTCTTATTTTAGATCAGGGAAAATCATCGCCAAAAGGAGAAGGCTCTGAACGATTTTGCTGATTATGTTGCAAGAACATCTAACTACTCACTTCTCCGAGCTGCCAAAGAACGTCAAGATTTGTCTGTTGACGCATCCCGGGTACAGACAGAATACAAAAATACAGAGACATATCACGATATGGCAATGGAGAGTCTCCAAACAACAGTGAGTATTTTAATCATGACTTTATGTTTATTTACATTTCGCTTTTATCCAAGGAATTTATGTTTTCAACAGGTAAGTGTTATTGTGCATTCATTTAAGTTATTTGTTCATGTTCCTTTTCAATCGGATTCTTGTTTATTAACCTGTTGTCATTGTCACATAACTCTGATGCTTTTGTAAAAATGTTCTCCTTGGTGTAGTCTGAAGGCTGAAGTCTGTAACCAGGTTAGAAGCCATGAATAACTGAATACTAGTAATGTGTTCTCAGAATACAATTAAAAGCTTCTCCACAAGAATGCTTGATAGCACTATATATGGAAATTTGGTTTCCAAGTGGAAGAGCAATATTCAGAGTTGCATGCTCTGTAAGCTATTTCAATGTAAAAAAGTAATCTCAATATGAAAAAATATTAAGACATGTTCTAAAATGAAATACAAAGATCTAATCTTTGGTTGGCCTTTTGGGAAAAATTAGTAAAATATACAAATTGAAATGAAAAACTTACATAACGTACATAAATGTGTGTACTTTGTTATTTTCAGACATTCAGTGGCCGTATGGTGAATATTGACAGCACCCCAGCTGAGATTACTGGAGGACCTCTAGCCAAGTATGACATAAAGCTGGGGACATTAAAGCCCAGGACCATTATCAAGGAATAAGCCATAACTGTAAGTAATGCAGACACGCCTCATGTACATTTTAATGTGTATAGGACTTGTATCATCATGAGACAATGTGTTGTTTACATGTTGCTGTTCATTGAAGGCAAAAAGTTCAAATAAATAAGAAATATGTTATTCAGTCATTTACCATTCTTGATACATGTATATCTGAAGGAATTGTGTCATAGAAAAATTCATTGTTTTCCATATTTTTACTGAGCCTAAAATGTTAACAAAATAAGTAAAAAGATCATATATCTCATGCATCCATCATACATGTTATTTAGTGTACTTTTATTTCTATTTTCAGGTGAAAGGGGTCTCCTAATTCACAATGTAAAAATGTACAAAGACCAGAGATGTATATAGAGAAATGAGAAATAATTTTAATATTTAAAGTGAGACTATGGAGTATGTATAAATGCACCGACATTGTAGCTGAGAATTGAACTTCAATAATGTTACACAGTGTATACTAAAAGTCAAATAAGTTGTATATTGTAAATTCGTAACTTCTGTATATGAAACAATTACTACATGTGGATGTGGAACACATACAGAATGAAATATACTAAACCAGTACAAGCTGAATCTAAGTTCTCCAGCAGATTTATTATGCATGTGATTTGCATGCCAAATTTGGATCCTATCACATATTATTCCTGTATAACGTTTAACTTATGAACCGTTTGATTACGTCATCATTTATTGTGCAAATCTCTACGTCCATATAATAAGTGTGATATTCTTTCGTATAGACGTTTTATAAAATATCACACTTATGGACGTATAGAGCTTAGCAATAAATGATGATGTAGTCAAACGCTTCATAAGTTATACGCTTTACATGATAAACATTAAGTGAGTTGCAAAATCTCTCTAATATTATTATCTTTAATTTTATCCTATCTATTGACACATACTCCACTTCCATTTTTAAAATGATTAAATAAAACAAGCTGTCATTATTGAACCATAATATCAAATAAGGAAGTCCATATTTAAAGAGCTTATGCAGTGCAAACTGTATCATAAACTCATATACTGATCCTATTTCATCTGAAAAGTACTTGTATATATGTATTTTTGTAACATATATAAAATCTTGAATCATTGTATCCAAAAGCAATGTAATAAATATGAAAATTATGCAAACCCTTTGTAAGTTAATTTTTTATGTAGCAAAGACAAGTGTTTGGTCACTAATCATATCAAGTCAATAATCAAACTTGTTTTTGCATCGTTATAACCCAAAAGTTATGTTAATGGTAATACACAACCTTACCACAATTGCAGTAAGGATGGACACAATAATCCATTGAAGATGTCGGATAATAATCATAAAATGATATGTTCATTATAATAAAATATAATTCCACTGAATTGATACTCTTTTGTGGTTGGTGTTGGGTGTTTGGCATCTGTAACAGCATTTGGCATTTTTGACAAATGGCAGGTGGTGACATTTTGCACATTGATGCCTCGCATTTCTACAGCTTCAAATCTTGATCTTAGATTGTTAGTAGCTGAGAAATTATACAACTAATTGATCATTTTGAATGTGAGATTGATGTACTTAGGCTGAAACATGGTTGAGAAATAGTTCCATTTTATGGCTCTCCCCAGTGCTATTTGAATTGGACCAGTGTAGTATTTGAATTTCTGGTGAGTGACTTATCTTACATTAAAAATACAGTTTGGCCCAAAATAGGGTGATGCCTTACTAGTACAGGATATCTGCTTAAGACTGGCATTAACATTTTGGTCAATTCAAAAATGCTCACCATTTTTATTCAAAATGCCAACCACTTTTCCTAGTTTTAACTTACAGCAGTATTTAAAACAAAACACCATTTCAAATTATCTTGAATCTCTATTTAATAAACTTATATCTAAAATTTCAACCAATTACAATAATGTATGTAACTCATAACTGACATAATTTCTACCTCCATATAATGCTTTCGAGGACAATACAAATACATAATTTTAGTTTCTAATTTTAGAATTAACAGTTACTTATTGTGCCAGGAAAAATACTCTTGTAGACCTGGTTGGACCCTGTTAAAATGGTATATTATTATAGAAAATATTTAAAGTGCTTCTTCAGATTCATATATAAGCACAATGAAAATTTTTCATAATAATTAATATAAATCCGAGACAAAATTAACATTTTCAAAAAATATACGGTATGTATAATATTTGAAACCTATTGACACACGCCTATCTACATTGTTCGATGGTAAGGCGTGTGACAAGAAACAAAATATTTTTCACCTGGCCTTACTTTAAAATTACATTCCTGAAATTTTCATTGAAAACAACACTTTATAGATATTTGATTAAAACATCATTCACAAATTTGTGCGAATTCATGCAAATGTCACAAAAAATTAATTTAAAATCTGATAGATGTGTTTGATAATTGAGAATTATTTAATATTCCTACTTCATTAGCACTGTTCCACAACTAGTTACTTAGACAGAACGTCAATGTAACAAAATGGATGAACGCCCTGGATACATTATTTTGGTTTTCTCAGTTTTAACTTCTTATAAGTCAAGTTGCAAATTATAAGTTGGCACAAAGTTAGAAAACATAGTTTAGCTTAAAGCTCGGTTTGAAAATTTGATTTTTAGATAAAGCTGTAATGAATGCATTTAGACAATCACTTTCGTTACATTGACATAAGTCTTCAAAGTGACATATGAATGGACTTACATCAATGTAACAAAAGTGAGAGGCTAAATATATGAATTGCGATTTCATTTACGAAACAAATTATTCCAAATCGAAGGCATTTTTTAAAGCTAGACTATATTTTGTTACATTGATAGTCCATTGTACATGCAAAATTCAGATGTATATTTTGTCAGTAAAAGAGCACTCTCAATAAGTACAGTTAAAGGGGTACTAGTATATTCTCTATTTTAAGATTTTGTCCAAAAGCAAATAACTGTGAAAATTACATTTGCCAATTTTTCTAAATTCTTGAAAGAAACAGGACATACAAGACAACAGAAAGTTTTTCAAAGTACATGTATGTTTAACTCGAGAATCAAACATGATAAAGCTAAATTTATATTTCATTTTCTGTAACCATTAACATTTGGATGCAGCCCATCGTGTAATTGAAATTCGAACATGACTGTATTCACGCCTTCTGTAAATTGTGAACAAAGTCAATATTTCACCTGGTGTATATTCGTCGACACACCAAATGGTAATACAAATAATGTGTGACGCCATAACGACGGGCCAATGTAATGGCAGGACAAAATGAATAATGAAAAAAATTTGGTGAGTTCTTATGTTTGAATCATAATATAGACCTCAGAGTTATATATCAACAAATTGATACCTTAGGTCTAGGCACAAAAGCTTTTGAACCCCTCATTCCCTTCGCTAGCCCTAGGCTATCTATTCTCCGATTGTGATATACCACCTGCTCTTGGGTCTATATTTCTTAATTCAACATTTTAAGCCTCTAGTAATATAAGCAGATAACACTAAATTCTCATGATTCTATAAAAATTATGCTCAGCAGACCCCCTGTCCATCCATAACCCAGGAATGACCAAATACCACTCCTGTTGTTACACCTCCAAATATAGGTTGACAATCTCCTTGCATCACATCCTCACATCATGACACGTAACCCAAAAGTCAGAAAACTAAACCACTCCCAGTATAACCATATTAAACTTGTTCCTCAATTATGATCCAACAAAATGACTAATGAGGACCACATAAACCACAGACATCATTGGGAACACACAGATACAAGGGTATTTCAATTCTTAGCGAGGCCCGAACTTGAAGGATGGAAACAAGCCTATCCCATCCCATGATATACATTTACCCTAATTCGCTATTAGGTATTTCATATTATGATAACACAATGATATGTGCAAGTACCAGGTCGTTCAATAAGTTCTCATAATTTTGCTCTCATTTTAAGAGTTTTTTATATTTTTCCATGAAAATTTCACAGACGATGCAGAATGTATCTGTGTAACAACCCTGCAAAAATTAAGTTTTAATTCTAATGGTCGTGAAAATGGCGGTTGCTATAGTAACGTCAAAAATCGGTAGGCGGGGCAACTTTATTTGATCGTAAAATCCATGGATGTAGTTAGATTTCATCTTGAAATGTCATATGTTTTATCTGAAAGATTTGCAACCATAGAAACAGGTTTTGACATCAGTGTGAAAGATGCAACTTTTCTGAGTATAGTTATTACTGTGACATCACATAAAAAGGTATGACATCACAGAAAAGGTTTCAATAGAGAGACCCAAGATGGCAGCTGACTGTGGTCTTGTGAAAAGTCAAGATGAAATTCAAATTCAAATCCGTAGTGTGATAAGATTTTGTGTGTTATCCAAGAAATCAAGAGGAGAAACAATAAAAGCAGTTCAAGATATTTATGGAAAGGAGTTAATGAGCACACCTACCATATACCAATGGTATCAAAGGTTTGGTTCAGAGGGAAGAAAATCTGTGATGGATGAAAAACGGACTGGCAGACCGGTAAAAGTCACCAACCCAAAGGCTGTTGAAAGAGTTAAGACAGTTCTAGATGATGATCGCCGCATCTCTGTACGGGAACTTAGTGAGAATGTGAACATTAGTATAGGTAGAACACACTTCATTCTGAAAGAGAAGCTTAAAATGAACCTCATGTGTGCTAAATGGGTGCCAAAGGAGTTAACTAGTGACCAGAGAGCCCGCAGAGTTGAGGTTTCCCAAGAATTTCTAAGACGATACCAAGATGAAGGGGATAGTTTTCTTCAACGAATTATCACATGCGACGAGGTGTACGTCAGCTATTATGAGCCCCTTGGGAAGAGAGCATCAAGTGGTTGGAGAACTAAGAACTCACCTACTCCCATTTCAACCCTGGCAAAACTGACCAAAAATGACGGCAAGGTGATGTTCATTGTGTTTTTGGATAGCTCTGGGGTGCTGCTTACGCATGCAATTTCTGATGGTCAGAGAATAAACAAGGACTATTATGCAATGGTAAGCTTATTCATTATTAATAAATTAATCAATATAAGAGTAAAAACATTAAATCAAATCAAATTTAAAATCAGATTTGAACTATAAAAATGGTTAAAGTGTGCGCCTGACCCGGCTACGTATAGCACAGAGTTTATACTGGCGGATTAGACTAGTTCATTTTTTATATGTGTGTGAAAGCTTTCTCTTATTTGCGTTTTTTTCGTTTAGTACGGTTTTGTTATAATTGCCGAGGTCATATAACCGGGATAAAACAATGATTATCGTTGACTGCCCACACACAAAACATACGTTGAGTGAACAGTGTTATTACAAACAACAGGCTTTAGAATACAAAGCGTAGTGTGATAATAAGCTGCACACTACCACTGCTGCATGTACATATTACTAATTTACTAGGGCTCCCAAAGAGTGGATAGGGAGGTTGTGTTTGTCACTTTTAAATTTTACATTTCAAAATTGTCATTTACATGTCATAATTTGTTGGTTTCATTCGTTTAGCCAATCAAAACATTGTAAAACAATAAATTGTCTGTTACGTACAATCAATTTTGTTCAGTTTTGATTAGTTGTCAGAATAAAGTTACGTTCATCTGAATCCATGTATCAAAACAAAAATCCTATTTTCACTTCAAAATACTTCAGTGAGATGAAGGCTCGGAATTGTCACATGCAATAACTTATTGTCGTATTCGTTATTTTATCTTCTCGATAGTAGCATTTAGTCGCACATTTGATGCCAGGTCACCTTGTCGCGTACCTCTTGGGGAACCCCACATTTATGTGTGTACTCATGGAAGTAAATTCCCCGGTGTAGCCGAGAGCCACAAACTTTTCAACAGGTTCGAAATGACCAATTTCTCTCATATATACTCTAAATATTTTATTATTTAGCACCAACAAAGTATTGCTAATAACCATATGTAATTTCAATAAGGAAACTTATCTGGCTACATATAAATTCAATATCAACACTAGCTGTTCTCTCAACACGTCCTGGCTTACCTTGTGGTGACAAACCCTGGATTTTCGCTATTTATAGTTTATCAACACCTGGACGCATGCGCATTTTATACTTTATCGGGCACTTTAAGTACAAATGTTAAAGGCATTAGTATCCTATCCTACTGACTATTTCAGGTTCTCAAGAGGCATCTCAAACGGGCCTTCTCAAAGAAACGCCCCCTCCTAGAGTTGGCGACAAGAATATTTCATCAGGATAATGCCCCGTGTCACCGGGCAGAAGTTGTACTGAACACCATAGGAGAACTCGGAATGGAAGTTCTCCCACAGGCACCATATTCACCTGATGAAGCCCCATGCGACTTTGGCGTGTTTGGCCCAATGAAAGATGAGCTGAGAGGTTTTCGATTTGCATCGACAGAAGATTTGCAGAATGCAGTCCAAAATGCTCTCAGAGCTAGATTTCCTGATGGATTCCATAAAATCTTCCAGGATTGGGTAGAACGTCATCGAAAGTGTGTCGCATCCAATGGACATTATTTTGAGCATTTAAAGTAGGAATAGAAACATTTACCCCATACTATTTCATGGGATAAATGGGACTACATGACATTAAAACACTTGTTACTCTCCACAATGTTGAACTGAATTATATGCCACTATGACGTCAAATAATCTGCCCCGCCTACCCATTTTTCATGTTACTATAACAACCGCCATTTTCACGACCATTAGAATTAAAACTTAATTTTTGCAGGGTTGTTACACAGATACATTCTGCATCGTCTGTGAAATTTTCATGGAAAAATATAAAAAACTCTTAAAATGAGAGCAAAATTATGAGAACTTATTGAACGACCTGGTATATGTACTACCTCAGTAGCCTTGCATAAACTTTAACAGACACCTATTATGGAGCAAGACTCCTAAAATCTAAATCTGTCATCAGAGCCATTCCAAATTATAGATCGCAAGACAGCACTTCTGGATTCCCGCTAATGTACTATAAGTTGTTGAATGATTTGAAGTGCATTTACAGGATATATTCTGTTCGAGAAATTTTGTATTAGAACGAGACGAAGTCGAGACAGAATATATCCTGTATTGCACTTCAAATCATTCAATAACGTTTTTATCGTGTGATCCTCTGTATTGCTACTGAGATTGTCCCTTCCGTACCAATATTTTCTGTATTGCGACGGAGATGATCAACGGGGACAATCTCAGCAATACAGATTGGTACAGCACAAGAACTGACCAATCAGAGGGCTTCATTTTACAGATCATACGATAATAGGCCTTATAATTGAAACAACAATAATCAATACAACATTCACCTTAATTTTCACATAAAACTTCACACAAGAAGCAGAATGCACTGTACACATCTCTGTAGCACATTAATTGATAGCCTTTCAAATTTGAACTAACTCTTAAATCAACCTCTTAATTCTCAAATTGATTTCAATAAACCTCTCAAATATCAATTCTTCACTCAACCTCTCAAAATCAAAAATTCATCCATTTACCTCTCAAATCTCAACTTTCATCAACCTCCCAAATACTTTAACTCTATTTCCAATCGGCTCTAGATATATTTTTAAATACATTCTAAACAATTTTTAAATATGTATATATTGAGACATATTGCCCCATTTTAGTACAGGATTTCAGTTCACCATGTACATGTAGTGCATTTTTCATTTGATTCATTGATTGTAGTCCATAAATAAACTCATCAACAAGTTTACCACAAATGGTTGCCAAAATTGATCTCCCAATATTTAGGAATGCTGCCAAAAGACATGTTTCTATATATGATAATCTTAATAAAGAAATGTCTTGTCCTATCAAATCAGATTAAAAATGTCATCATTCAATATTTTGTAAATTAATTTAGAGGTTGGGGTCAAGGCATAAAACTAGTTTCAAAAATGACATTTTGAATTGAATGAATTCTCTTGTGATTTGACCATGTCAGATAGATAGCATATTAACCAGAACAGCTTGATGTCCATGTTAATACATTGGTTGAAAAACATAGCATTGAATGGGGGAATTTCTATTATGTATGGTACAGTAAAACCTCTATGTAATGTGATCATATCTGTAACATGAACACATCAAATGTTCTTGTTATCCCAGTTATGAGATATGCCATTTACTCCCTAGTAGATATCACAACCTCTCTCTCCTCCATCACTTAATGAAATCACTTAAGCTGGTTCCAGAAATGTTCACTTATAGACAGGTTAACTGTACTGTTGACTGAAGATACAAACTTCATGTTTGTTTACTTCATTCCTTGCTAATTCCACTCCTTTTCGCCTTCTTCGTTCTATGAGAACATGGTTGCATTGCTATTTCCCACAGGATCTCATATGATTATCTGTTGTCCACTCCTGCTCATAGGTCTTTAGTATAGACTGTGAATGATGTTCCAGCTGGTTTCTTGCTCCAACATGCATCTCTTATAGGGATAAAATGCTGAAAATAAAGTATCATGTATTAAACTTCAAATCAGATATCTCATGATTTAAAGAAATATAATATTGATAGCATCAATACAGCTGAATTTTGGAATTTCAATTCATTGTGTAAAATGTTCTACAAAGGGCCTTATTTCCACAAAAAGTTTGAAAAGGAGTTTGAATAATTTTGGTGTCATAAAGTTGCAACTATTTGATTGGTTATAGAAGGTTGATGACATCACTATAATATTGTCGCGTTCCAGACTTTTGCTGATAGTCTGGAAGCGATGAGTAACTTTTTCACCTTACACTTCTCTGTGGGCCCAGTCCTGGTTTGGTGGACTGGATAAAACGACAGTCACAAATGGCTTCCAATTTAATACATATATTTTAACACAACTATTAATACATGAAAATAACACTCTTTAATGTTCATAAACTAAAATGTCACTATAATTCTCTTTGTAGGATGGATATCGGCGGTTGCTGCGTTATTAGCTCTTTGCTTGGCTCCCTGGGCTCTGTAGCCTGGCTCCTCTGGCTCTTGAACTTGGTTCCTCTGGCTCCTGAACGTGGCTCCTCTGGCTCCTGAACTTGGCTCCTCGGGCTCCTCGTTCAGCTCTTCGGCTCCTAGCCTGGCTCCTCTTGCTCTTGAGCTTGGCTCCTCTGGCTCCTCGTTCGGCTCTTCGGCTCTTAGCCTGGCTCCTCTGGCTCCTCGTCCAGCTCTTTGGCTCTTTAGCCTGGCTCCTCTAGCTCCTTAGCCTGGCTCCTCTGGCTCTTAAGCTTGGCTCCTTGAGCTCCTGAACTTGGCTCCTCTGGCTCCTCGTTCAGCTCTTTGGCTCTTTAGCCTGGCTCCTCTGGCTCTTGAGCTTGGCTCCTCGTCCAGCTCTTTGGCTCCTCAGCCTGGCTCCTCTGGCTCTTAAGCTTGGCTCCTTGAGCTCCTGAACTTGGCTCCTCTGGCTCCTCGTTCAGCTCTTTGGCTCTTTAGCCTGGCTCCTCTGGCCCTTGAGCTTGGCTCCTTTGGCTCTTGAGCTTTCTGGGAAGGCTCCTCACTGCCCGATGCGATGGAAGTCTTCCTGGAACTATTTCTGTCAGCGGTGAAACCAACTGACAAAATTAGCTCACACTGTCTCTTGACTGGACTCTTCTGGCTCTCTAGCCTTGCTCTGCCTCTATGGCTCTTGAGTTTTCTGGGAAGGCTCCTCACTGCCCGATGCGATGGAAGTCTTCCTGGAACTATTTCTGTCAGCGGTGAAACCAACTGACAAAATTAATTCGCCGTGTTGGGAAGTTTCCCAATTTCACCTAACAATAATGCAAGGCTGCTTCCAGGTTGTTCCTTGCTGCTTCCCCTAGGACAGCACTGAACTGTGAAGAATTCTTGACAACACTTTAGGCAATTAATGACAGTGTTGTTTTACATTAAATCTGACAAATATCTCACTTTAGTAAGTCTGGGACACAAAATGGCGACGCACGATAAATCTCAATACCCGTTGAATTATAACTACAGTCAGTCAGAGGCATCCCAGTAGCATGCTGGCCATAAAGTTACAAATTCTGGTACACATGAAATTAAAAATTATAGTCAGTCAGAGGCACCTAGTAGCATGCTGGCCATAAAATCAAATTACAAAAAGGAAAAACCTCACCCGAATAAATGCTTCTTTCTTTAAGTTGCCAAAAATTCAGGTTTTCTCTGTTGTTTCTCCTTCAAGAACCTCCTGGTGCGTCTTCCCGCTTTATCATTCGTTATTAATCCCGAATCCTTGGCAGATGGCTACTCTAAAGTGTGATAAATGTGGATTTCCTCCCAACCTTTGATTCACGCTGCTTCCTTCAAGATGGCGACCTTCCTTCTCATCTCGTGATGGCATGAGTCATACAGGCACAGGTGACCACATTTTGAAATCAGGGGCACTGCAGTGCGGCAATTAACAAAGAGAGTACCCCTCCCGCAATGGACTACTTTATAAAATCACTACGCAATGCGACACTGTAAAAATTCCCCCCCTCCCGCTATGAACTACTTAATAAGATTACTACGCAATGTGATATAATGTAAAAAATCCCCCCCTCCCGGAATAAATTATGGAGATAGGGATTTGGCACTAAACCTGGTTATTTATGCATGTAAGATATAACTGTTATAACATGTAAACAGAATACGAAGTAATATGATACATGAATGACACTACATTAAAGTTTAAGAACTGAATTAGCGCCGAAAATGATCGAAAGTAATGGCGCAGCAATTTCTAGTTTTACCGATAATTTTAATGACGATCTATGAAGAAACTACTTGATCAATTTACAATTGGAAAGCGTCTAATTAAAGATTAAATGTTCAATTATCGAAATATCACTACAAGAAGCACAAATTAGGGCAGGTTGTACTTACAATTGATGAAATCAGTGGACGTTGAACAAATTTGGAATCTTTCGAATCGCAATTACAACTTTTGAACTTCTGCGCATCCCAGTGCGCAGGTTATTAAAAAAGTAAAAGGAGGAGTCCCTATAAGGAATCAAAAATTTCCCACATACCCCCCTTCCAGGCATTATGTGCCCTCACATAATGAACTTGAGATTAGATTTACGAAACTATATAAAGAGTCTTTTATCGTTATGTAACTTTTAAAAACAAGCAAATCGAACAAGAAAGTCAACGTTTGCAACTAAAAACTACATAGTCCATAGAACTTTTGAGCACTTTTCAAAGTTTATAGTCTTACTCATCACTGGAAGAGGTCCCCTCTACGTCGATCAGGTTCACTTTCAAGTAGAACTTCCTGGGTAATCTAAATCGACGGCGGTTCGACATCCTAGGTGGGTTGGTCATAGTTCCCATATCCCTTGTTTTCACCAGGACCACTCTTCGGTTAATCTTTGGACTAGCTTCCTTGCTCTTTGTGTATTCCTCCTCGGTATCTTCAGATTCGTTTCCTGGTCCTGCATCTTCATCTATCTTCAGTTCCCCCTCATCGGAGTCCTCCAGTTGATGACCTGGCTCTACGTCTTCTTTGGTTTTCGAATCCCCATCCCCGGAATCAACATTTCCAGTTTCATGGTCGCTTATATCAGGCTCCTCCGCCTCGTAGCTCTCACTGATGAGCGGGGCTTTATCTTCGACTGCCTCTTGGAGTACTATCACTGGTTCTTGTTGTTCCCAGTTACTAGCATTGGACAACTCACTCTCCCGGGTTGCAGTAGATGGAGGTAGATTTTCCCTGAGATGTATGGTCTTCAAATGCCTAGTCAAATTGTACTTCTTGGCGAATATCTTCAGGCAATAGGGGCATTGGTGACCTTGCTTGCATTTTGGGTCTTCATCCATTGCTTTTTTGGACCCTACTGTTGGGGTTAACTTTGGTTCTTTATCGTCCTCTTTTGCGGAATGGTTCACTTTTGGTATAACGTAATGTTTAAGAGTTGGTCCCGACGTCTTTGGCTCTTGCTCTCTTTGGCTTTTGCTCCCTGTTTTTGGCACTTTCTCAGGAGGAGCACAAATGGGGCTTGTTTTCTTTTGTTGAGCCAAGCTCTTGGGGGGATCTTTTTTGTTAGATACACCCCTCGATGAACAGTCCTTTTGGTGTGAAGTGTTCTTGTTCTGAGTGTCTTTCTGAGATGATGTACTATTGGAAGAATAGTCCTTGAGGTGTGAAGAGCTCTGAATGTGGAAGTTCTTTGGGGTATAATCTTTGTGGTGAGAGGAGTTTTGTGTATAAGTGTCCTTTAGACCTGAGTTGTTCTTGGGGGTGTAATCCTTGTGGTGAGATGAGCTCTTTGGAGTACGATCATGGTGGTAGGAGGAGGTCTGAGTAGGATTACCTTTGTGGTGAGATGAGCTCGGAGGATGCTCCTGGTGGTGTGAGGAACTCTGAGATGGATGACCCTGGTTGTGGGAGGAGCTCTGATGATGGTAATCCCTCTTTCGTGGCGGACTTCTGTCCCGACTCCTCTCTGGTGTGTGGGGCCTGGAACGCTTTCTCCCCCTCTCCCTTGATCGGGACCTAGCCATGCTGAGACCTGAAATCAAACACACAAAGTCTTTTAGTTTTGTTGGACGCTGTCGTACTCGCCGAGTTCTGGATGTCTCCCTCTGTCTCTTTTGTTCATGTACCTCCTCTTTGTTAGAGTTACCTGCAATAAATGGGTTAGTGTCAACGCCGAGAGGACATTTCTTTGTGGTTGATTCTGTTGGCTCACTCTGGTCCTCCTCTTTGTTTGGGATACCTATAAAAGATGGTTCAGTGCCAATTTTCCCTTTATCATGTTCAAACCCTTCCACTCCCCTTTTAACAGAAACCCCGGGAGACTCTCTTCGACTTTTGCTCGGTGCATTGTTCACTCCTTCATCTGGTTCCAGGTCCTCCAGTGGAAATGGTGGAAGCGGTTTGTAAGGGATCTCCACCTCTACATCCTTCACGGCTGGCCATTTTTGAGGCAATGGGCTCTCGTACCTCTTGGTAAGGTTGAAATGGATTACCCTCGGCTTCCCAGTTCCTTTTTCTCTCACTCTGTACACCACAGGAGAGAGCTTGGTCACAACCTGAAAGGGCCCCAACCATCTGGGCTGCAACTTTGGAGACTTCCCTACTGTTCTGCGTTTGTTCTGCACCCATATGGCATCACCAACCTTGTATGTTTTCTCGTTGATGTTCCGATCATAGCGTAGTTTCTGTCTATCAGCTGCTTGTTTGAGGGATCCTCGCGCCTGCTCATGAACTTCCTTCATTCTCTGTCGAAGCCCCCGAGCATAGTCTGTCGCCAACTCTTCCTCTTCTGGTGTATCAATCAACCTTTCCAAAGGAGTTTGGAATTCTCTTCCCAGCATCATCATGCTGGGGGTTTCTCCCGTGGATTGATGCACCGATGAGCGGTAAGCCATCAATGCCAGTGGCACTTTTAAATCCCAGTCCTCTTGGTTGTACTCCGGAGCTAGTAATTTCACGATGGTGTCTACTAGTGTGTGGTTGAATCTTTCCACGAGGCCATTAGATTGGGGGTGGAAAG